CAAAGAGTAAATGCACCTGCGCCACTGCAAACGATTCTCAGCCATGTCACTCAGGGTCTTCAACCATCGATTATTATCATCTCACGGGTAGCCTACATCTACCAACATGACTCAGTCCACTTGTCAATGACTTCATAGATTTGTGCCGTGTTTTGGTCTGACTACCCATAGCTTTCTCCCAGCCCAACTCTACACCACAAAACATCTCTCGTCGGTGGTTGGGCATTTGTAACACATGTCCCAAGCACCTCAACTGATGGAGTTTTAATGCTTCATGTATTGATCTACCATCCTTACCTAGCACCCGTTTCCTAACAACAGCATTGCTTACTCGGTTGTCCCAGGATACACGAGCAATGCTTCGGAGATACCTATGGTCGAAAACCAGTAACCTACGAATATCTTCTACTTTGACTGGCCATGTTTCACAGACATAAAGTAGGACACAGCGAACTGCTGCGCAGTACACTCGTCCTTTGGTTAACAAGCGGATATCTCGCCTACGCCATAAGTGATGCAGGTTGGCAAAAGCCAATCAAACCTTCTGTATCCGTGCTGAGATTTCGTCAGTCACCAGGCCATCAGTACTGATGAGACTCCCGTGAAGTGGTCGACACGCTCGACTTCTTTATGAAAGGTTTTTTGAGCATTAGCTCCTCTCTTTAAAGCCCTTACTGAGCAGGCCTTACCGCCGGAGACGGAAATCCGTGAGGTAGGGTGAGGTGTGACATTTTTATGGTCAACCTTTTCTAACCCTTCCTTCCTTGTGAGAAGGCAGCATCACTGCAGATGCTGTTTGTCCGAGGGAAACACCTTACTGCAGTCAGTAGTACGACTTCGCCTTCAGACCTTAAGTAGCTGCTTTTAGTCTCATCGTTCTCCAATCGACCTGCCTTGAATGGTAGGACCTTTAGGAACATATGTTTCAGCCAATATAGCTCGGTTGGGTGATCACGATAGGCGAGCGCGACCACCATGTCAAGGTAGCAGCTATAATCATCAATCCGTAATAGAGAGCTAAGAAAAAACATGAAACCGTCCATCTGCTCACTCACAATATATGATCATACATATACTCGTAGTACTATGAATTTTAATGATGTAAGGGAAATGAATGCAACTATTAGAATGGTAATTAACAGCCTTCATATTAGTCAGTAGTTTTGTGTACACATTATTTGAAATAATTAGTACTAATGAAGCTAAATCTTGAAAAAATAACAGAATACAAAATTGAAGGACCGTTTTTTTAATCCCGATTACATCAGTTGCAGTCAGTCAGCTGCAGCATAGAAATTGGTACTTACGTATATCAGTTCAAGTTGCCACAACATTTTAGAATCGAAAGATCAAATTGTCAGTTTACATCCCATAGTGGTAGATGTAGTAGAATAATTAGCGGCAGTGGAAAAGATTAGGGATCGAAGACAATTCGAGGAGTATATCCCATTGAAATAACCTTTAGAGGAAAAAAAGGTTTTGAGCAGTTCAGAAGATTAGAATTTGGAAGATCATGGAGCCACATCATTCAAAGTCTCTAACCGCTGGTTACGATTAACTCGCAAACTAAATAGGATTTATTCTTTGTTAGTTTAAAAGTCGATTATTAATCCTACGTTGTTACTCATAACGTCAAAAATACATTGCATGCAGTCGAACCTTAGCAAAAATAAGTTATCAAAGTGGAACGTTTAATATTATGCAGATAAAATTATATTCTCACCTTTTTAATTCACAACAATTTTTTCCTTTTTGTAAATTTACAGGCAACTGTTTTGTGCATTTCCAGGACAAACTATCACAGATGAAGAATTTGAGCGAAGTAAGACTTGAATATTTTTAAATGACACCTTACAAAATATTTGTATAATTTATTTAAGTCTAGTCTGTTATAAACAGGTGATCACTGAAGTTTTATCCGTTTCGCTCTATGATTCTTACTTGTAAAAAATGAGTAAGTAATACAATTCACACGACACGATTTATAGACACACAATACTGGTAATTGTGAAATCTTATTCACTTTAAAAATATGATAGTCGTAGTCAAAAACTACACATTTATAAAGCGATTCGAAATTAAAGTTGCCTATTCATCTCTTCATATCAAAGTCTAACAATTGAGTGCTATCTGTAGTACGACCGTACTATTGTGGAAAATAAAATTAACACTTAGAATTCACGATTCTCATACTGTGAGGCACACAGATGTCATCATCAAAGCCGTAATATAAAAGAATCTGCATTCTTCTGATGAGTGATTAATAACATGTTTGACGATAATACAGGATATAAACGGAAATCATCTAAAATAACTTTTTGAATAGCACTGATTACAGTATTGAACGATTAAAGAAAATAATACAGTTAAAATTAAAAACTTGATCTGAAGTATTAATATATTGGAATACTTATCTCAATGCCTTTCTTTTATTGTTCTTTGATTATAAACAGAATTAGAAGAGGCCAAATCATCTACTTTATTTGCTCATCCAATTCTCAATACAGCGCATATACTTTTATCTGCAAAATATACAAATTTTATTAACAGATCACTAGCTCTTTTTTTATGGCCTGCACTATTGGCAAGCATACCTGCTAAATCATTTATGGAAAATGCTAAATGTCATTGGAAAGATGCTTAGTAAGTGTTTATTGATTTATTACTGTTTTTTCTTAATTATTATCTGTTTATCCCGATTGTTTGATGCATAAATATTTATGGATTTCGGTCGATTAGATCATTTTTAGAAATCTATTGATATCAAGTGTTGTTAGTGATATTAGAAAATCGACATTGAAGCCATTATAAATCGCTCAGAGTTTTCATACACTTATAAACTATTGGGTAAACACATGTGATGTTAGTGGAGTGACAATAGTAAGTCAACTGTTATATACTGTACACAACATCATGTAGTATGTTCATCTGAGTAAGACTGGCGAGATAAAATTTGTTGCCGCCGTTAACCACTTCCAATTCACTCCACTCAAAACGATAGACCTAACATTGATCTATTTAGTATTGCAGGTTTTCAACTAAGCCATAGACGTGTTTTATTTTGATTGAAGAGCGTATGGAGTACCATGATAATATGATCCTGCTTACTGATGGAAGCTTTCGATCAGTATATACTAAATCTATACTATTTTCTCCTCTATAATAACCAACAAGTCTAAGAAATGGTTTTTTTCCTTTTAGTGAACATTCAATCACTAAGTATCCTCAGCCAAATGATAACGAAATCATAGAAACACAAAACGATGATACCATCGTTCGTGTTAACGAATTTAAACGAAAACGACAAAGGAAGAATTATCCGGACAGAATACCTAATAAAAGGTAAGAATTGGCACAAAATAGGAAATTTCCGGAAGTGATGATTAAGTAGACATGTTTACTTATTTAATGATATAATTATCCATTTATATATAGGAGTTATTCTACAATATTTCCAAATGGCAGCTCTAAATAATAAGTTTACAGACAAGATTAAACTGCCTTAAGATGCATAATGCTTCTTATTTTCATCACATTTACATTGACTATGAAAAATCATTATTATGACTCAGAGAAATACCGGAAACAGATTTCTAGTAATAGTGTAACATTATCGGCATGTGCGATTTGATTTTCAACCATTTATGAACTTAAATTCGAGTTCGCCTAAGGATTAAGTAACCAAATCTTTGTACATACCGTTGCATTCGATTACATTCCAAATATTCCCACCGGATTTTTATAGATTACATGTTTTCTACAGACATCATGTACAATATATGTGGACGAATTGGCCGTAAGACCACAGTGCTGCGTTCCCATCCCCAACAGGGTCCTAAATGTGTCTACTGAGTGCCACATGCTATGATGAAACAATGTTACAATGCTTCATATTTTTAAGTGGATATCTTACTTAGCGAGTTTTGTGATATCAATAACAAAACTCTTTTTTTCAGAAAATATCTGTTTTTTGTCAACGTATGTAGGCACTTTACTTGATTGGTCAATTCGCATCGTTTTCACTGAAAACTAAACAACGCAGTGTGTGAAGTTTATAAAAATAATATGAAGCATCAAAGGAAAATTAACTGTTTAATGCTATAACGTTTAAAAACTGAGATAGTCACGTTTAGAGTATATGACTTTTAAATGTTTTCTACTTTTCTAGGTTGAAAAGAAATCACAATTACAAGGCGTTACTTAATTTTCACTGGACAAGATATGGTTGGGCTAATCGAACAAATTCTAGTGTAACATTTACAATAACCGGTAAAAATGATGAGTTACTGTCGATCACTTTACCTAGTGAAATAAGGATATTGTACTCTTGTGGTTTCAAACCTGATTCATTTTTAAATCTTAGAAAATAGAATTTTAATATATCATATTTTTACCTGAGATTTTATTACTTCCTTGTTTTATTTTTAAATATATATACATCACACATGATAATCGAATCAGTCTTTTTTCTTATAGTGAAATAGATTAGCAGTTATACAATTGAAAAATGAGCAGATAACTGTAAACGATTTTTAGCTGTCATACAAGGTCTCTAACCATCGGTTACCATTGTCTCGCGGACCCCGACCAGGTAGTCCACATCTATCAACATGACTCCATCCAGTTGTCAGTGACTTCTTGGATTAGTGCCGTGTTTTGGCCACACCTAGCTTTCTTCCAACCTTCTCCTACACCACGAAACATCGCTTGTTGAGGCAGCCGGTGGTTGGCTATAAGCAACACACGTCCCAACAACGTCAACTGATGAAGTTACAATATTTCGTCTATTGATCTACCATCGTTACCTAATATTCTTTTCCTAAGAGCAGCGATTCCTACTCAGTTGCCCCTGGATATACGAGCAATGCTTCGAAGACTCCTTTGTTCGAATACTAGTAACGCACGAATGTCCCCTACTCTTACAGGCCATGTTTCACACCCATATAGTAGGACGTAGAGAACTGCTGCGCAGTACACTCGTCTTTTGGTTAGCAAACAGATATCTGGCCTGCGCCATAGGTGACACAAGTTGACAAAAGCCAGTTGAGCCTTTTGTATCGGTGCTGAGATTTCGTCAGTCACCAGGCCATAAGTACTGATGAGACTCCCGAGATAAGTGAAGGAGTAAACAGGCTCAACCGTTTCACTTCCTGTTACTGGTTCAGGTGCCGACGCAAGCCAATCTTGAAGCAACATATTGTGGCAGACACTGCTACAGAAACTCACGAACAACAGGGTCATAAATCGCTTCGACGTCCTGAAAGACAACTAATGTCGGATTCCGAAATGTGTGTCTATGTTCTAGGAACGGAAGTAGTGCGAATATTTGGTCTACACATCCACGTCCAGTCTGGTTTTTCGAATCCGCTTTTCAGTAGCTCTAGTTAGGCGTCTAAATATTATGGAGGCTAACATTATGGTCACTACATTAGTTAAGTTTATTCCCGTGCGATTGTCACAAGAGGACTTTTGTTCATTCTTGTAGATTGGGACGATCAGAGATTGAGACCAGTTGGATTATGCGCATTCCCAGATTCTACATAAGATCTCAGTCATTCTAATTGCTAAAACTGAACCACCGTCCTTAAAAATCTCACGGGTCAATTTATCACGACCCGCCGATCTCTCTCGCTTTACATTTCTATTAGCTTTCTCAGCTTCGTAAACAGATTGACTGGAGATCGTGGGCAAGTGTGACTAAAGGTCAAAAGTTTTCTGACCGTCGATCCAATCCCCTGGATTGAGAATGAATGAAGGTCCCATTTTTTTGCAAGATAGTTCCACTGACGTTGGGTTAGGTTAGTTTTGCTATCATTAAGGTTTCCTTGAGTTGTTTTTCCTGCGTCCAGTAAGTCGCAAAATATGCGCTCGCAGTAGAGCATGGTCTGAATCTAAACAAGTGCTCCATAATGAGCAACAGTCTTCTATGGAGCCTCTCCATCGGTGGCTAATAGCAGTGTGTTCTACCTGGGACCAACATTGGGACGGATTTAGAGGTCGCCATATCGAAAGATGTTATCCTTACGCTTAAATTTAGTATTTGCTAGGAATATGCGGTTATCTGAGCACAGTTGAAATAGTCGGTTGCCATTATCTGGTCTTTGAGCCACGACACTATAAGATCCATCGAGGTGTCTTTCCTTTTCACTCAGTCTACCCACTTGAGCGTTGAAGTCACCAGCCTTTATTATTATATCAGAGCACCTAACATTTTGAAGGAGTTCTAAAAGCTTTCTGTAAAACTCCTCATTTACATCGTCTGAACTGCAGTCAGTGGGAGTGAAGGCAGAGACGGCGAACAGGCAACGGCGGGTGTCCTTATCATTCCGAGTCCTTACTGTCCCGTTCAGTCGGACAGTACACAAGCGATCCAGTCTAGCAGAGCCAGTTCTGCTCTAGACTCAATGATGTTTCTACACCAGCAAGGCCACGGGAAGCAGTAGAAGGGACTCCAGATACACGGGGCATAAACCAAGTTGATTTTTTACCTGGACAAGTTTCAGTCAAATTAATTACACTATTCCGACCCTGAATGCGCGTTTCCGAGACGCAGCATACATCGATGGCGCGAGATCCTAAAGTCCTATAGGACACAAAGTTTGAGCACTAAAAGCTGCAACATGTAGTTTATAGCGGTGTTTCAGGGTATCATGAATAACGCTTCGTAAAATCGAAACGTTTGCACCGATTCGGTCTCGTGTGCTCTTCACGGGTATGAGTGCAGATGTTACTTTCAGGGTGCCTACACTGTGGAAGGGCTACTCTTGAGTAACCTGGAAAGGAAATCGGGTTAGTGTTAGTCTGAGTGACCTGGGAGCGCTTGCTAAGCCCAAGGTACAACTGCTTGACGCTGCTCTTGCACGGCCCTTCAATTGGAAGATTTCGAAGTGTTAGCTCCGCACTCTAAGTGGCCTTACCATCGAAGACGGAAATCCGTGAGGTAAGGTGAGGTGTTACATTTTTAGGGCTGACCTTCTGTAATCCCCTACTTCGATAGCGAGAAGGCAGCATCACTGCAGATGCTGGTCGTCCAAGGGAAACAACTTACTGCTGTCATATACCTCTACTGTCAGCAGTACCACTGCGCCCTCAGACCTTGGGTAGCTGCTTTTAGTCCCACCATTTTACAGCCGACCTGTCTGGCATGGTAGAACCTGCAGGGAGATATGTTCGTAATCCAGATTCATTTTTAATTTAACGTTGACCCACAAAAATATTTTTCCATATTGTGAATAGACAAGTCGATATAGAACATAGCTGTTTCGAAACGTGGTAAAATGCAGCGATTCAGAAAGCCACAAAGTATAATGAGTTAAGAAAAGCTATTTTTCCTGCAGGGAATCAAAATTTTTACTTTTTCGGGCATAACCGAAGTATTGTTTCCCAAGGATAAGAAACTTTTCCAGAGAAGTTATTTTCATACAGCTAAACAAACGTCGCTAAACGGAAAATGAATATTTTAGAGACGATTTACATCAGCATTTGGGAATTAATATCGAAAAACAAAATCGTCGATGTTTGTTCAACTTGGTAATTTGTCTCGAAAAGTTATTGTGCTGTGCTCTGGGCCCCATGGAACTTCAATAGATCACAAGTACGATACTAGTTATCTACTAAAACTCCCTTTCTAATATATGTTTACCAAATGAAAAGTATTAGTAATATAAAAGACAATTTTGAATTTTCTGAAATAATATACACTGTACACAAATATTTTGTAATGATACATATCATTATTGATTACTGTATATCCTGATTAGAGACGTGATCTGAATTCACTAACTCAACAAGTGGGACAAGTGTGTTTTCAAGACAAAACACACGACAAGGTAATATCGAGAGTAAAGAAATTTCTGACTGTTTAGAATTTTTCACTGTTGTATCCTTTGAATTGTGCCATGTGATAGTTATTGAATGGCTATTTTCTGAAGTTACACCGTTATCGGATGATAGCGCTTTATCTGAATTGTTTGTCTGAACCACAGGATTCCGTTTCCATGTAAAGACATTTTTCAAAAACTAAACGGTAAAATTAACAAGTGCAGAGATGACAACAATCGATTTGTGAGAAAACATTAATTTTAAAAAATATATTTCAAATAATCTCTGCGTTTGGAATTTGAATAACACCAACGTTTTGTTGGACAGTCTTGTTTGGACTTCTTCAAGGCAATAATAAATCGAAATTACAATGTATGATGTGTAGCAATCAAATCAATTCTACACAAGGTTTATCTAATCATATTCAGATATCGAATTTAGTAAGTAGGAGAACATGAGTCAAGTGAGATGCGAATCACGTGGAAAGTTAACAGTTTGAGGAATAAATAAAATAGTTTTTGTGTGTGTAATTTTAGTATATTAATCGTTGACATTTATTAAATAAGTGTCAAGTATTTGATACCAGGCAAAGTCTTCAACAGGGTATTGTTAAACAGAATGAAGGACTTCGTAGACGTCCAACTTTGAGATCAACAGGCTGGATTTCGTAAGGATCGATCGTGTACTGACCAAATCGCTACATTACGGATCATTGTGGAACAATCAACTGAATGGAACTCACCACTCTACATCAACTTCATCGACTACGAGAAAGCATTCGATAGTGTGGACAGGAAAACACTGGAGGCTTCTTCGACACTACGGTGTGCCTGAGAAAATAGTTAACATCATATTGAATTCTTATGATGGATTCAACTTCAAAATTGTGCACGGAGGACAGCTAACAGACTCTTTCGAGGTGAAGACCGGTGTGAGGCAAGGTTGCTTACCCTCACCCTTTCCCTTTCTCCTGGTCATCAACTGGATTATGAAGACGTCGACGTCTGAAGGGAAGCACGGTATCAACTGGACAGTTAGGACGCAGCTGAACGATCTGGACTTTGCAGATGACTTGGCTCTTCTATTGCACACGCAACAACAAATGCAAGAGAAGACGACGAGTGTAGCAGCAGCCTCTGCAGCAGTAGGTCTCAACATACATAAAGGAAAAAGCAAAATTCTCCGATGCAACACAACATGCACCAACCAAATCACTCTTGATGGAGATGCATTCGAGGACGGAAACACCTTTACATATCTGGGAAGCATCATCGACAATCAAGGTGGATCCGATGCAGATGTGAGGGCGCGGATTGGCAAAGCAAGGGCTGCATTTCTACAATTGAAAAATATCTGGAACTCCAAACAAATATGAATCAAAACCAAAATCAGGATTTTCAATACAAACGTCAAGACAGTTCTACTGTATGGAGCGGAAACTTGGAGAACTACCAAAGCCATCATCCAGAAGATACAAGTATTTATGAACAGTTGTCTTCGCAAAATACTTTGGGTTCGTTGGTCAGACACTATCAGCAACAACTTACTGTGGGAGAGAACAAACCAGATTCCAGTGGAGGAGGAAATCAGGAAGAAGCGGTGGAAGTGGATAGGACACACACTACGAAAAGCACCTAGCTGCGTCACGAGACAAGCCCTCACATGGAACCCTCAAGGCAAAAGGAAAAGAGGAAGGCCAAGGAACACACTACGCCGAGAAATAGAGAAAGATATGAGAGGAATGAACAAACATTGGACAGAACTGGAGAGGGAAGCCCAGGACAGAGTTGGTTGGAGAAAACCGGTGGGCGGCATAAGCTCCATTGGGGGTAACAGGCGTAAGTAAGTAAGTAGTAATTTGATTAATAAACGCAAATATAGGTGCTATTGTGAATGTTTAAAAGTCTGATGTGTATGTAAATTGACAGTTATCAATTACTTATTTATAACGATAAATTATTCAAATTAATCAGCGTCCGAACAACACTGCATGTGAATTAAACAGGGTGGATAAAGTCTAATTGATTGCAAAAGGTCATTCTCTATGGGGTTGGCTAGTTGAATACCATCTTTTCTGTTGCCAGTCTTTACTTCGGTGCTACTTTCTGAAGTAGTTTGGTCTCATGGCAGTTGATTTTGGGTCCTCTTATGAATGTAACGCTATTATTGATTTGTCTAGATCAAGCGAGGATTTAGGACCGTGTTTCACACTGTTTGCCTTTCTTAAGTCTTATATTAATTATCTAGATGTTTCTCTCACATAAACTGAATTACGATGTTCTGCTTTTCTTCCTTTGAAATCCTATCCTTAACTTTCACGAATGCCGTTCTTATGGTAACAGTGGCAGGAAAATAAACTCATTATGTTTGTGTTCAGTAACTTCTTAATTTCTTTAGATATACCTTCACAGTATGAGATGACAAGTGGTGTCCTTCCATTTTCTTGATGTATACTCTAATTTAGTTTTTCTTTCATTTCTAACAATCTTTAAAAGTTCTTCAGGGTAATTGTTGGCCGTGAGTTGTAGATAATACTATATTCAATCGCTGCTGTCTGCAATGAGATTATTTATCACTGCGACCTTCGTAGAACAAGCGCGAGATGAATAGTAATCCAATCGTCTCTAAGAATGTTTGTATCTGGGAAACATTGAATTCGACATATTATGTCTACTTTCAACCGAACAATCCGGGAATGCTAGTTTGTAGTCATTGGGTTATATCGCTTTGGTTGTCTTACTGCCTTTTGATTAGTGGTTGACATTTCCAAATAATTTTAAACCATTTTGTTTGATATTGACAGAAACGTCACCAAACTTTGGGTGAATTTAAACCTTTGTACACACACTTGTTTCAAGGAATGCACGAATTAATTCGCTGAAATCAGAGAAGCTGGTGAACTATTTACCACGCCTTCCAGTTTGTGAAAATATCCTTGAAATAAGAATAAGGTGGATAGTAAACACAATTTTAACCAATTAATAACCTCAGAACGATCTAACGGGCATCGCAAATTCAAGCCTGAGTCAGATAATAAACAATCAAAAATTGTACCTAATGCTCTACGAATGAAAGATTATTTGAAAATATGCACGATTCTGGAAGAAAATATAATTCAAATAATTAGCTTACGTTTTTAATTTCTGTTTCAATCACTAGACCAAACGATGCAATCAAAATTTTGATTTTATTATTAGACAGTTCCATCACAGTCCCACTTTCATAGAAAGGACCGTAATCCTGTTATATAAAAGTAGAAATTATGTTGACCGTTTAAACTATATGAACTTGTAAATGTTTAGGGTTCAATGAAATTTTAGAATGTGAGAAAGGGAAAACATTAGGAAAAGTTGCATTATATGGAAAGTTGAGAATTTTGTTGGTAACCGAACATTTACAAATGTCACTTAATTCAAATTATTAAATATTCTGTAAGAAAAGAAAACGATTCATTCATTTGGTTGTGATTCGTGCAAAGTGATCATTCACTGTATCCAGTAAACAATACCGGACAATGATATGGAGTTTTGCAAGAAGCATGTAATGATGCTAAGGTATGTTATCGAACGCACCACAGTGGAAATTTTTCTAAAGTAAGGAACAAAACAACCTTTGCCGACTACTTCACTTTAATTCATATGGAATATACTTCAAATGGTGAAAATTCTTTTGAATTTTTTGTTACAATGCACGGTTTCGAGATCTGATTGAGATAACTTTTAAAGAATGAATGCATATCATTGATTATTATTCAACGACAAGTAACCATAATTCATCACATTTCAAGCAATATAAAATCGAAAGTCCTATGATTTCTTTAATACCAGGTTAGTGGAGTCCAGCATGACTGAAATTATCGGTCCTATCGCTTGACTAATAACATTTATTTATATTTTCTTTACCTCACATTACATTTTAATTTTGACTAGTTTTAAAATTAAACAAATAATTGGTTCAGCTGAAATGTAGAGATATATTTATACATTGAAGCAGTGTGATAGTGGCAGCAACTTTTTAAAATACATCTGTGTAAAAATGCGTAATTATATGTGCATTAATGATATTACACAGAGGTCACATGTAATGGCGTGAACAGTAGTTGTAACTTACCCTAACACAAGCTGTTAAAAACAGACGTTGGCTTGCTTCTCCAGCTCGTCTAGCTTTGAGACGACGAACATTACACCAAGTAACCTGTAAATCTATTTCATGATTTTTAAGATATTGTTGTGCAAAATCATTATTCCTTGCAAAACATGTTTGCAATCCTGAATGAATAGTATCATCACATTCTAATATTCTTGCCATCTGACGATGAACAATTAAATCAGCATATCGTCTAATAGGTGAGGTGAAATGTGTATACAATGGTATACTAAGACCATAATGCCATGTATAATTCAAAATTGTTTTATTGTTTTGTCCCATTATTGATTGAGGATCGAAGGATAGTATTCGTAAGAAATGATCGTCGTACGAGATATTTTCTAACAGACTTTCTTTGGTATAACGCTTAATGAGTATATTATACATACTATCTAAATTAAAGTATAAAGCTACCTAAAATGTACAAAGTAATAAAAATTTACCTCTTATTAACGATTTATGAAAAATTTGAACTATACGGAGAAATCTTTCAAAAGCTAACACCATTTATCAAAGAATGCATTACTGGTGAACCATTGAAATAATTTTATTAAAGATATGTGTTGAAACTTGTAAAATTAGTCATCGAATTGAAGTAGTTGTGTCAGATGTATTTTTAAAGGAAAACTTAACATACATGAAAGTAAATATAATTAGATATACGAGAGAAGCATCACTATGTCTATCTAAGGAATCGAAACTTAAAACTATAAAGTATCGAATTTATGACATTTCCATATCTGGACTAATTTTCAAAAGCTTATAATTATTGCGTGATTCAACGCTAATGCTAATAATATTAACTACACCTTTTTCAAAAAAATAAAGCGATGAAAAAACTCACAGATAGGCGAATATAAGTCATGTACGCCAAAGAACACATCAAGTTTAAGAGACATGATTTGTTAAAGGATTCTTTTTCGGCTATGCCGTCTGCCAGCTTTTTGATAGAACACTAAAAATTCAAAAGAAAAGTGTTTGAATTAGAAGAGTAATTTTGAAAAACAGAAATAATTTATAATCCTTGTGGTAATATTACATATTATACATACTGACATAAAATGAACAATGATTGAATACTTTAAACTTTGATGCAATTTTGCTGAAGAAAACCGATAAACATTATCCTAATAATGATAATAATTACTTACCGAGAGCGAAGCAGAATTTGTAGCATCGAATTCGATATTGTTTGATTTGGCTAATTGGGCCTAGAATGGATTTTTTTTTAAAAAAAATTTTGCATGACATTATTTCATATCACATAATTTCACAACGGAATCATGTACAAGCACAAGACAGCAGCACAAACAATCCTAAAACAGAATGCTCATGAAACAATCAATGTAATAAACAAACAGGAAAATGAATGATATTTGGCGTTACACATTTAATGACTACCAATTATTTCATGCTAAGTAAGAAATCGGATTATTTTTGTCAAATATTACTTTTTACTTTTAATACTACCGAAATCAAACAGAAAATTGTTAACTAGTTGCTATCAAATTGACATTTGTTCGTAAAGAGTATTGGGGAAGTGTACAAAGTAATAATTAGGTAATTTTCCCAACACTATTAATTTTGCACTACAACTAGACAACAAAATGTTTCCAGTTTTTTTTGAGAAAGTGCCGAAAAATCGTAAGTTGTATACATTGTAGTACTTTGTCTTATAAATAGAGACTTCATCTCTCTTTGCCAATTTTTATCGGTAACAATAAAATATATCGACCCTTTAATTATATCACAAGTAATGAAATCCATAAGAATCGCTACAGTTCGTTTGGTATTCGCTAGCCGACTAACTTCAATTTCAGTTTCGATATTTTATATCTGAAACTGAAGCGTCGTACCAGTCAATCGCTCACTTAGAGCTTTCCGACTAAATTAAATGTGTTGTCTTTTAATAGAAATGATATTTATTGCAAGAATGTGTTGTTTTTTTTTACCGCGGATAATATTTAATACTGCTTAATAAGAAGAAATCTACCACTTCTGTATCACTACATCGGGTAAATATTAAGACATCATAAAAAATAAACCGTATAAAAATGAATATATCCCAAAAGTCACAAGATGATACTGTGTTTTAGGTTATTTAGAGAACTTCGAAGGTTAAGGTAAAATATTTACAACCAAATTTAGTTCGTTTGTTAAAATCAACAATAACACATGTGGAAACAAAAAACTAAACCAGGAGGATGATTAATTTTTTTTAAATTACCAATTGATTAAATTTCTTTTCCTTAGGTTTTGGATGATTTCTTAGCGTTGCACCTAACCATCGTTGATTATTCTTGTTTATCTCAACAGGAATTTCAAAAGATTTAAGACGCTTAATAAAGTTACCAAATAGAAATCGAGCAATAGACTGGTTGGCAACAATCATCCATTCTTCAACTAAATAGTGAGCAGGATTTCGTACTTTCACAGAGAATCCTTGAGGCCAAAGTGTAGTTGAGCTACAAAGTGAAATAATGAAATCAAATTGTGGTTAAATTCTTACATTAGGTAGTTAATATTTAATTAAAACAATGTAATAATCCAACATAATTTACTCACATAATAAATTGTGGTGAAAAAATCTATTTAATGATATAAAAGTAGCAAATTCTGTCAGGCGTACTCTCAGCTTATGAGAAGTGTTGGATACAGAAACTTAGTGCTTCCCTAGTACAATGATAAGACTTTTAATAACAACATGTAACATTTCGTATAAATAAAGATGTCACAAGTAAACTGGAGACTCAAGTATTTCGGAAGCCAACTGCAGCAGCAATAACTCAAGAACTCGCAAAATCAACTGTGTACAATCGCTGTTCACGAGAGCGAAGAGACATTGCAGCATACTATACTTGAAACGCAATAAAACGAAGAAAAATATCTAACGACCATCTCCCAAAAGAACGACTACTCACGTAACCTCATCAAAATACATCAACCGAAGTCGTCAACAGAAGCGAAATCAAGTGCAGCAACCAATAAACGGATCATTCTACCATACATAAAAGACACATTGGAACTTACAGCATGACTGCTGAGAACATTTGGAATAGGTATAGCACATAAACCAACAGAATCACTTCAATCAATCCTATGCAAACCAAAGGACGAAATGATAAAGGCAGAAAAACCAAATATGATCTACAAATCGCGGAAAACACTACGTCGGACAAAGTGGACGTCCTATTCAGCTTAATTTACGTGAACATCAATTAGCAGTCGAACGCCATGACATTTCTTCTCTTACATCAATACATACGGACAACTATGGGCATACATTTGATTGGAACAATGTTAGAATAGATGATAGGAGCACAAAGAATATTAGAGAATTTCCAGAACCTTGGCACTCAGGTCAATCAGTAATCAACACATCTACATTGACCCAATTTATCAACCAATCAGAAAAATCATCGAAAAACGGAGGATCAAGAAACAGATCAAAGAGGAGATCCAATCGAACTAAAGGTGCAAACAACGACAGGTTTAAGGTCAACAGCAACCAATCAACATCGAGGTTAGCAGGACAAGCTACAGGTCAAACGTGGAGAAATTCTACCTGAAGTTTGTGCTGATGTTGTTCAGAAGAACTATGAAAGTTCCACATACGAAACATGCAGCTGAGGAAGAAGCCCCACCACAATGATCCACATGAGCTACAAATTTTTCCGCCATCTAACCTGAATTTTCAAATTACAACAATTTATCTCACAATTTCAACATGACAAATATTCTGAGGAAATGGTGATGACAATGGATCACCATTCTAGTATAGGACTCTTCAGCAATGCGCATCCAGGTCTCGTGGTAGCAGGAATCGAACTCAGAACCTTCGATCTCGCGCGCGAACGCCTTACCTCTAGACTACTGAGCCAGCATCCAACAGTAACTTTGGTCAATCTAAAGTATTACGCAACGTCGCCTAAAGTCTTCAGTAGGTTACTTCATGCACCCGACATATCACGGCTTCTCACTAGAATTCCTAGGATTTCCTCACGAAACTAATCACTACTGATTTTCATTACACAGTTGTGAAGATTTCAATGGAAATCAACACTCTCAACAACTGTATAATGAAAATAACTTTTCAACTTTATTTAGGCATAAAAACTCCCAGTCTGTTAAGCTTACCACTCTTCTGTGCATTTTTCTTTTTCTGATAATGGTTTTGGAAAGCTAAAATTCAGTTCTACTTTTTCCAAAGATAGAGCACCATTTTCCATTCGATGACTACGTAGGTTCTCTGCTATCTATATATTGAAAATAAAATTTGTTGAAAGAAGCTTTTAACTTGAGAAAATTATCAATGTAAACGTCAAAGAAAATTGTTCAGTGTTCGGAGTGGCAATTCACTGTTAAATCAATCAATCAAACAATGAATTCCAAGGCAGAATTAGTCAAAGAATTATTAAAATAATCTAATAATACACCAAGTACCGTTTGTATATTTTCACCTACCAGTCTCTTTAAACTGTTTTACATGTTTAGAGTTTCATTGCTTTGGATATTACTAGCTTTGTCTTCCTTGATGTGTGCGGTGGGGGGGGGGAGGTTAAACAATTTGAATTTCTTTGTGCTAGAATAGGTGGATCTATTGACTGTGTAAAAACTTGTGAATAGTTTATTTCAAGACAACGTGCACCGGCTACCACCAACAAAAACTGATCGAAATTCAGTAAACATTGTCCACAATGGGATAATTCAAATGTTTTCAATAACTATACAAATGTTCATGACAGCTAACTTCAGCAATATTAAACACATGATCGGACAATCATCAACAGATGAATATCGAAACTATCAGATGCAATATTTAGGTTCAAACAAAATTGACTGTCAAACGACAAGCAAGTTTTGTAAATGATCAAAATGAACACAGTGTCTATCACAATGTCAATCACAGTAAACATAATTCAACACACAACTTTGAACATGAACATGATTATGTTTATTCACAAAAAAATGAAGTTCAATTTTAAAGTTATAGATATGTTGCTGTCAACTGAAATTTACCATTGAAATAACTTTATCATAAATTAAGCAGTGAAGGCTCAGCGATTTTATGCTTATATTTATAACAATCATATAATTTTATCGATGGAAATAGATCTGTGAAATACGACATTACAATCAAAAGAGGGTACTAAAAATTTCAAAAAAAAAAGACAATAAAATTACCAAATGAAGAGAACGTAAACAATTCTGAAGATCTTGAAAAGTGAACGGAGCTTCAGGTCTAGGTAAAATATCTAATAAACTTGATTTATTTTCGATAGATGAATTTGACTGTGTCATTTGGATGATACTCCAGGCTTCGTCATAAGTCAAACGGCAACGTGAACGAATTACACTTCGACCAAACCATTCATTGACAATCTGAAATACGATTTTATTTTTTAAAGAAAAGAGAATATTGAATGTAAAAGGATATCAGATGAATTTTAGGCAATCAATAGTTATGAATAACAAAAGATAATGAGAAAACATCACAAACAGTTTACAAGATAGATGAACCACTTGCATAGTTAAATCGGGATAAGAATTTGGTAGATACGAATGAATCGGATATGAAACTATACGATTAGACTGCCATGTATTCTTATTAAAAATGAATGTCAAATAGTATTATAACTGTATCAATCAAGCTTGTATGGTCTGACATATAGATCAATTGTTTCAATAATATAATATATATCTAAGAAACGCAATTTTTAACTATGCTTTATCACAGTTTAGCATATTAACTTTAAATAAGTATTGGATGATATCATTCAAATGAGATTTTGAAAATAATCATGGCTGTTAGCATTAGGTTTATTGGTCGGTTTCAACATCTACATTTACAATGATATGTGTGCGTTTTTAGTTTTATACATCCATTCAAATTAAAGCATATCAATGAACTACTCTCATTAATCATATAAAACATTGATCGATCGAAACATGAATTTCACGCGGAATAAGCAGATAGGATCGAAGAGACTGATGCAGAATACTATTCATTGTATTTTGATAGGTTATACATTACATTCATTCTATGATAATATCCTTTATTTTAACTCTTTCTCATTTTGATTTTAATAGACTGACTTCAATGCATATTGTTCTTTACTAACATTTTTGTGACCTCGGTTATTTCAATACACAACTATCTACTGTTTGTTAACTCCTTGGTTTCTAATCACTAGTTCGATATCCTGGAACTCTTTCTCCTACATCTAATATATTTATAACATTACTAATTTGACTGAAAACTTTGCCACATCACCTATGTATTTTGAATGTGTCAATTTTCATGATAATTTTCATTAGAAAATATTATAGGTTGTAAGCAGGGCTGATGAGAAGCTAACGAAATAAAATGAATTCATATTATTCTGCACCAATCTTTGTTCTAGCTCTCTTCAAAATATAATCGAGTTATCAAAGGAAAATAGTTTGCATAAGTTTTAGTATATAAACAATTAATAGAAAAGTTATAAAGGATTATTCGCCTTGGAATAATAAAATAAACATTACCTAATCCATTATTGGTAAACAAATAACAACTTACAACGTGTTATCTTAATATCGTTTAAATTAATTTGTATACTTTTAAACAACCCAAATTTAGTTTGTAATTACGTTTAGAATAACTTTAGTGTGTTAGCAAGCTATGTTGAAAGTATACAAGGATGAATCATAATAATGTCGGTTGTTTTAATCCATGCACATGATTGATAGTGTATATCAGTTGTTTACTGTTGACTCAGGCGTTTTCATCCGTGAATATATATATATATATATATATATATATATATATATATATATATATATATGTGTATATATATATATATGTGTATATATATATATATATATACGATTCTGTGGAGAGAATCAGCGTAAAATTAGTGCTTAACAAAAACAAAAAGTTTAAACATGGTCGAGATCAGTGCAGTTCGGGAAGCAACTGAAAAAATTAAAATTATTTAACCAGTTAGTTCAGTCTGCTATCATTTATTAAACAACCGGCATACTGTACTTACAAGAAAAAGAATAAAATGATCAATTCATTCCATATCAAATATAAAATTAGGCGATCGAAAATAAGCAATCTTATATTCTGTCAAAGATGAACTAACCTCACCATTCTCTTTCACAGTTAATAAAATTGAAAAAGCTAATCGATCTTCATTAGGTACAAGACTACATAGATGTTGTGATAAGATAGGCGGCAACATTGGTATGACCTGTTAGATAGAAAAAATCAAGCAACAAATTATTGTTTTTAAAAGTGAGGAATATGCAATTCATTGCTTGACAAATTCCATTTACGAACATTAAAGTCAGATTGCATTAACTAGTGATGTTGAGTGTTAAAGATTGAAATCGAAAAACAAATTTATCTTTATGGATGTGGTGTATTAATTCCTAACGTGAAAGACAATCAATATGGACGAATTTGGAATAATCTAACATACAACCAAGTCAAGCTGGTATCATTAGGCGATGAGAAAATTAGGCTTTATTAAGGAATAACCAATCTATTTAAAAAAAAAACACACAAAGCTTCAAACGGTTGCACAAAATAGAACATTACATTATAAAATGACTGAACAGAATAAACGCTACCGTAAATTAGTAAATCATGTGCAAACAGAAAAACACAAGTCGAGAATAAATGAAAATGGTGCAAAACAAATATAACAAGACCATTGGTGAGCAATACGTTAAATTTATTTTTTACATTGATAAACATAACATCTTGAATTTAAAAATGATACAAAAAGTCACTGAGATAATAAAAATGGGCTTACTTTCTGAACAAGATAAACAGATGTAGTTCGATCCGCAGCTCTTTTATCTAATGGACTATTAGGATAAACAAAGTATGATACATCTGCAATATGAATTCCAACTTCATATAAACCTTAAAAACGAATGAAATAAAAGCGAGAATTGATTACTTATTATAACATAACACATAAAACAATACATAATCCAATAGAGTGAACCGAAATAATAAAATTCAATGTTGTCGGACAGAAAACAACGGCTACAGAGTAAGTATTTATACACCTTCAGATTTGTTGATTCAGTTATTGACAAATATTAGTGGCTCATATAGAGAAAGGTAAAACCATAAATACAATTATCTATAAAATAGATAAGGTGAATGGTAAACGCTAATAGAAATTGTTTGAATTAAGCATCGTCGTGTTAGGTCACTAGTCCGTGATGTAGAAATTTTTCTAGCCCAGATTTCGATTTATCCTGTAATGTGATAGGATAAATTTTTGTAGATCGTTTTTACTGTCACTATTTTTGAAGGTAATCAGAATGTTAAAAAGAACTAAACTTTAAATGACTTATCCTTCAAGAAAGTTAACATTAAATTAGACTGACTAGTTGTTCAGACAGTTACCAAACTAAAAACATACATCATAGACTTAATAAACTTATGTCAGTCAGTGAGCCTCGTGTACTGCTACGGGTATGACAGCAGATGTTACTTCTCAGCTTTCCAAACTTCTTGAGAGAAAGGAAAGGAAGGTAGATTAGTGTTGGTCTTAACGACATGAGAGCGTGACCGCAGAGTTCAAGGTACAACTGCTTGAGGCCGATCACGCACTGCCTTTTTATGAGACGTTTTTTAATTTTTTAGCTCCGTTATTCAAGTGGCCTTACCGCCGGAGACGGAAATCCGTGAGGTAAGGTAAGGTATAACAATTTTCGGGTCGAACTTTTCTAACTTCTTCTTCCTTGTGAAAAGGCAGCATCGCTGCAGATGCTGATGTCTGAAAGAAAACTCTTAATGCTGTGACGACTCTCTACAATCAGCAGTACGACTTCGCCCTAAGATCTTAAGTAGCTGTTTTTAGTCTCATCGTTCTCAATTCGACCTGGCTGATATGGTAAAACCTAGGTAAGCCTAACCACAACGTCAAGGTAGCAGCTACGGTCGGGAATAAATTTATGTGAATTAAATCTTTTCCCATTTTCTACATTTAGGGACGTTTCTATGATGTATAAATGAACTCGATTTGTGTATTTGAGATCATCATATTTTCTGGGTGAATGTATAATGCACTTTCTAAGCCATACCGAAACTTCTTCTTCAATTAGATGGAACAACGGATTAGAGTAGCCTATCGTGTCACTGGGTCATTGTCTCGTTCTCCTTTATCGACCAAGGTGAACTCGTAATAGTTTCAAGCATATCAATTGACAAGCATAACACTACAGCTTACACTTCCATGATACAAGAAATATCCTTAATGAACACTGGTTAATATTAGTATATAGGCCAAATACATTTATAAATGAGAAAAAATATTTGTATAGATTAAAGGAAAGTAATCTTACCATTATTTAATCGAGTGATATGTAATGCATCATCGAAATCTTTTGCATGTTCTGGATCAATGGTAACAACACAATGAGAACGAAAATCTTTTCTTTTTTCATATTCAGTTTCGGGAATTTTGAATTCCTGTGGGCTAGTCGGTAGACCCTGTAATTCCTAAAAATTAAAAATATATTTATATATAATATATTTTCTCATACATAACTGATATTGTACTGGGCTAATAATAATGTGAACTTTCTATAACATGTCGAACGCGAAAGACATCTAAGAACTTTAATGCGACGAGATAAGCATGTTGAAAACATGTGATATCTTTCATCACAATAATTAGATCGAGAGCAGAACTTTTAAAAATATCTATGGAAAACAGAAAGACAGGTTCTCAGAAAAAACTTGATATTGGAAAAGTTAGGAATTAAATTTAAGTAGGACAAGTCTGTATTAGAAGGCTGCAAAACATACTTTGTAATATTGTATAATTAGCAAACTAACTGTGATAGTACTCAATCAAATAGCACCAATGTAATGACATGGATTAACAAATCGTAATCTTGATTATCGCTATGAGAAAAAAAACCAAATAACCCATTGTTTTCCTAATACATGAGTAACAGATATATAATTTTTTGGAATTTTCGACAGCCTAGCATGATGTTCACCTGATGTTTTTGTGTTTCAATTCCAACAGAACAAAGTCTACAACTGATGGTTCATTTACTAACTAATCAAACATCACAACAAATAGCAGTAGTATTTTCATATCAGTAGATCTCAGGTGATTTAGATCAGTTCAAAAAATTAATCTTGATACCAACATATATGGTGCAAGCGGAAACAGACTCAAGTTATGCTGCACATTAAAAGTCAATAGCACACTAAATGCTTCATTGTCACACATTTCACTATGATTATTTCGTAAATTCTAGTAATAAGGTGGGAAGTTATCCCAAAGTTAACTTGCTATCCAAATATTTAAAAAAAAGACATTATACACGTTTCCTTTACATCATATGACAACTGTGGGCATTGTAAGCGCATAATATTAATATTAATTATAAGTAGTAACGAAAAATAGCATTTTCGCAAACGGTACACTTATCATAGCTAACTTGGTATGACAAAAATATATGGTGCTGGAATTCAATAATATAAATACTGATTAAACAACCGCATAATAAATTTAATTGATATGTGTTGGAAATAAAAACAAGATATTTTCGAATTTTTGCAACCAGTATATTGCTAGTAATAGAAATAATATATCTAATAAGGTTTCAAGGAATGTAAAATTAAACTTTTGATGTTTCATGACTACGTTTATTTTCCTTCGGGGGAAATTAAAAATCAATGAACTAATTGGACTAATAATTCTATATAGCAAAAGGAGCAAAACATGGAATATCATTAAAAACAGGTTTGAAAAAACTGATATTGTCATTTCAGCTGAGACGATTCTGAGTGAAACTGAGCTGTGTGCGTGTTAGTGGGATTTGGTGAACAAGTTATCGCACTGTTAAGTGGATGAATTACAATGCTCAATCGTTCAAGCAACGGGATTATTGACTCTAAAATCTTGTATGAATTGATATCGATGATAAGATACGGTTATATATATATACATAAAAATTGACATAATCAGAAACCATTTAACAAATAAACAATTGTAGAACATGAGAACTACAGACCACTTAATACAACACAAAGAAATTATAATTAGTATAGTGTTTATCTGTATTTGTCGTCATTACTAACATAAAGGAAACAGTGAGTTGTTGTTAATCGACAGAACAGAATGGATTTAATTTTAAAAAATTAAAACATTCAATTTTATCAGAGAAAATAATGTATCATGAGAACAAGAAAAGAGGCTTCCAAAACAAACAAAAAAAACAACAACAGAATTAGGTAGATTAACAAAAAAGAACCAGTATCCATCTACCTTCTAGTACTTCAATAGGGAGTTAAAAAGGATCAACAGTAAGTGATCATGTAGTGTCTAGTACTATTCCACGCCAAAATGGTTTGTATTAGTTTTCATATAGACCAATTATCATTCACATACATTTTGATATTATCAATTATTCGTTTATAACCTTGAATTTTTATATGAGCATATGAGTGTGTATAGCTTTGTCAGGTGGGCTTGGTACGCTTGCCTTCTCCGGTTATTATCTTATTGTTTTTCTCAGTAAACAAATGTTTGAAATGAATCCACTAAACTTAATCCGTATTCAGCTTCTTATAACCACCATCATGTAAAGGGGGTGAGTCTAGGAGTAACATAAGTGAAGTTGAAAGGATGGTTGATGTTCACAGTATATTAAATCATTTATTTAAACAAGGAGTCAGAATAAGGACCACTAAAGCTTAAAAGATTTATGATGATAGCACATTAAACGGTATAATAACGCTTTAAAAAAGTGAGTCATTTTGTAAAGTGAGATTACCTCAGATGTGAATTGTTCATCAACGATTCCATGTTCCAAAAGAATATTTTCAGTGGCTTTTTCCAATTCATTCAAACTTCCCAGATTCTTTTCAATCACACTGTGAATAGTTTAATTATCGCACACAAAAATAAGATCATCGTAAGAATAATCGAATTTTATTAACAATGCTGAAATCCTTTCAGTAACGGTAACTGTTACATCAAAACGGAAATTGACGGGATAGTAACTCTTAAAATTAATTTATGGACCACTGTTATATTGAATCATATTGTGTTATTACTAAGCTACTATACTATTATTTATACAAATTCCTTGTATCCTGAGCTACCAATTGACTCACTAACTACAGTTCTTTGACTAATAATTCTTATCTTGTTCGTTAACTTGGAATGTCCTCTATTCCCAGCCATTTTTGGCTTGTTCATGCATAATTGTTATTTTCCATTAATTGGTCTTTTGTAGTTTAAGTACGTCCGTATATAAAACAAGCTTGTTTGAAATATTTGATCCGACTGGTGGAGACTGTATACATTTAACTGGTCAGGTAGGGAGAGAATTCTAATAAAAACTTGCGCGCCTTTAAAATAATCTGCTGAAAATGTGTACAAGTCCACATCAAATTTAGTAGTGACTATGAAGTGTACTTTCTAAACCGTATGATCCTTATAGAAAGTAAAAACTTATTTACGTTGGAGAGCACCAAATTATTACTCAGAAAAGTCTATAGAGACCGAAAAATATCAGGAAACATCCATCCGATCAGCATTGAATCGAACTCTAGCAGAAATATCTGCAAGCTATAGAATCACGTACCATGATTCTGACGAAATATTTAACCATACCGCTAGTATATTTTCAGTTTGAATCTTGAACGTTCTAGAAACTCAAGGTCACAAGTCACTCTATAAACGACCTCATTTTTCTGCACATAAAGTAATCTTGAGGTAAATATTTCTTCTAGAACAAGAACACTGTAACATTAGAGACATACAATATTCTTTAGGACGTTAGACAATGGTTTGCTGTGAAGATTCCAATAAATCAAATGATATTTACTACAATTGTATGATGAGGTTAGTCATTAATATATATTTATATATCAATCACACTGCCAATTTGAGAAAATATTTTTCAATATAAATGAATTTCATTGCAGAATGTGTACAGATTATTATTTGGAATGATAGCGTTATTTTGAAATGAACGAAACACAGTCAATCGATTATTCAACTAAGAGAACTCACTAATACCAGTCTTTTACGTTCATTATGCAATAGTATGTATGATGACTGTCATAAAGATGATGTAAAACATGAAAGTTTGCGAAACAAACAAAAAAAAACAATTTACATGATATACTAGGTAGATTACATGACATTAATTTGAACAAACTTGTTACCCATAAGGATATTTTGAACTTTTGCTCCAGTGTGTAACTCGACAAACGTAACTATTTTTTAATCCAATTTGGTGATTCTTGAGTGCATCTGTACCAACATATAAAATACATGGTTTTTAGACTGATGTACAACATTCAAATGGATCATGATCAAGGTAATAAAAATTTTTACGGAAAACAAGAATAAATTTTCTAATGAGCAGTCAAAAATGAAGCTAAATTCTAGTGTTCGCATTCCAAACTTTATAAATGAAAATAATGGTATTAACCATCTACATACAATTAACGGTATGAAGCCGAGTTATATACGTTTGAGAGCAATTTAAACTAGTGAATAAACGTTTAGGCAAAACATATTGCAACAGGAAATTTAAAATTCAAGTTTTTATTCATGAACTGTAATTATACAATTAAATAACGATCGAAATCATCTGAAATATGTATTTACTATTCCAGAAATTAGCTTTATACATTATTAACAAGAAAAAAGAAAAAAGATACTGACTACCATAACTGCTTTAAGAGTTTGTAGATTCACATCATTATAATTTAGGAATGCACAATTAGGCTTCAGTATGTTTGCACCGACTAACAACAATAATGCCTAGCATAGGAGTTCGAAGAATAATAGATAACAGTGCTTAAAGGAAGAATTAGTGTCCGTTCATGAGATCACTGTATACACTTGTGTTGTATCAGTATGCACCAGTTGACACGTTAAAATCTGCCAGATGAGTGTAATATAAGGAATCGCTCCCAAAAATGACGAAAGTAATACTTGCATCATGACTGCTGTATGTTATTAAATAAATTAAAAAGTATCATACGATTCACTCTTTTAGAGATGTATTATCAATCAACATAATCGATCGAACTGAAAGCATTAAATGAGATTACGAAATTCGGTGTTGATGTGCTAAGACATTTTATGTACAATATGAATAAACGCCATGTTAAGAGTTTGGATAAATACCAAAAACAAATAACAAGTCGGTAATACTTTTTTCGAATTATTGCTGACATTTACATTAGATAATGCTACATAATAAAAGAGTGGTAGTATAAGAAAATCACAAAGTATGAGCTGTAAAATACCATCAGCTTACCAGAAGGCACAGTAGATGGATCTATTTGAACTAATGGATGATCACTAGAATAAGGGAGAAGAACACATGAGAAATTTTTCTGCATTGGTAAGACTATGGAAGCTTTAGAACCACGATCCAAATTATTTGGATAAAAAGCGAGACAACCCAAAAGTTTCCGATTAGCTGGATTCGATTTCAAAACCTTCTTAACCACACCGGTGCGAATTAAATTAGGATATGGCAAAGGACATGAGGCACTTGGAACAGAGGATAGATCTAAACTCTTAATTATGCTCAATAATGTATTATCTGTAATATGTTGAGAGTTGTCTAGTACTTGTTTTATATTGTAGAACCAAGTTTTTTTAAATTCTATAGATGTAGATGACGTTTGATCGACCAATACTGGTGATTCACTAGCATCGATTGCTTCAAATGAAGGAGAAGGAACAGGTGAATCCAAAACAGAACTTTCAACTGTAGACTGAATTACATCTGAAATGATCTCATTATCGGAACTATCCTTTTCTGGGGATTCGAAATTTTCAATACCAGTTAACTAGAAAAAAGGATCAAAGAATGAATAATCCGAACATGATTTGAAATAAATAAAGGTAATTTTTGAATACATTCGTCAATTGTCAAAAACTCTTTGATATCTAGGATGTAAGAGATGAGTATAATTTACAATACTCTGAAGAAAACTGCGATTGGGACTATCCCTTGTCAAAGAAGTTATTTCCATGAAAAAAAAAATAATACATATTTAAATATTATCTAGCATTTACTTAGAATACATACACTGGCATGAAGGCTCACTACAATCTCAGTAGACTGGTGCTAGATGATGTCAATTTAAATATCTTGGGAGGAAGATAGCATCATTAGGAAGCCTAAACCAAGGAGTTGTCTGCTCGTGACCTTTAACTGTCTAACACAAAAAATAAGAAACTCATTATGGCGAAGAATAATCACTGTTATCAGTCAACAGTACCCACAATCTGGTATGACAGTGCTCAAAACATTATAAAGTCGTTCAACTGTTTCTAGTGGAAAAAAATCAACCAATAACAAACTAGATTTTCAAATACAACTTAAACAAATGAATCTCAATAAGTTGACCAAGAGATTTCGAAATCAATACCAAAATGAAAATCATTAAAAATAAATAAATGTATTATGTTCTAGAATTAAGTGAAAAATTCACTAGTACAGTGGTACGATACTGGTTGACTGAATACCATACAAAAGATTCACATCTTTTACGTTCATCTGCATGGTTCTATGTTCCCCGAAAGAAACAGAAACACTGCAAGAGTTTTTAAGTAATCATAAAAAAACAAACATTAACTATTGATAACAGTGGCTTAGCTTCATTAACGGAATGCAAGTTCTACTTTCATGACATGTATGAATGAAGATAAACACAATATATATATATATTTTTTTCTACTCTACAAGTTATTCCTAATCGACGTGTAGATAAAAGCATAAAAGTGTGCTAACACGAATTATCAGTTATTACATAACACAAAGAATAAAAATTACCAAAAATAAAAAATGAGTTGAACTAATTGCAGTAGCAATCAAGATAACTTTGTTGTGTTTCTTTGTCGAATTCACTACTTACACAAAGATGTCAACTGTTAAACACGACTATAAAATATAAATATCATCTACAAACGGGAAAAAAAGAGGACGAAAAAAATTCAATGCCCGAAATATTTACTTTCCATTTGCCAATAGGCAATAATTCAACTAGAACAATATCTTCATTCAATGCATTGTTACAATTATCATGATAGATAAAAATACGATGACCATCGTATGGATTAATCACATAGGCCAATCCTCGTACTACTTCATAAAATTTAGCCTGTGAAAAAAAAGAGATGAATATAATCATTGACAAAAGTAAATTTTCTATACTAGTGTTGAAAAAACAAATTGTGGACTGTAATGATTGAAGGTGATTAAAAACAGGATATGCACGTCCACTAGAAATGAATGCATTAAACAAAACTATAGCATCACTGTGTTGAATATGACATACAAATAGTTGATTTATGATGAATAGTATGAGGATTGTAAAGATTGATGAATATTATTGGGATCACAAAACAACTGCTCAGGGCTTTTAGGTTTTCAATATATGTATCATGATCGAAATATTTTACACTATAGAAATTCGAAAAGTAATTGCATACAGTTTATCCCATTGTTTTTTTCTATAAGCATTCATAAATTTATTTGTAGAATATCTTTTTCAGCTATAGCTTAAAAATAGTATGATTACTATATAAACATATACAGTGTTAAACTGACAGATCTGTTGATATAAAATATAATCTTATCCGTATAAGGAGGTTGTGTGCTCATAATTGATTAGCTTTAGGAGAAATTTTCAGGAATTCTGGCTAGAAGCCATGACATATGGAGTTTGCAACTGTACACCCGTTGATATCCCCATAAAGTAGTTTAGAGGTTAAATGTTCACTGAAGAACAAAGATTTTTGGTTCAACACCTCCAATGTGCATTGCTGAGGAGTCCCAGGCTAGACTGAGACGGTCGTTTGGTGCCTCCAAATTTTCAATCAATGTTCGCCTTAGATTGTTTCAAGAACTCACGGAAACCTAACCATTATTTAACATAAAATCACAAATATTATTTTAAATTTCTTCAGTATTATAGCTGAATTAGAGCTTTACTTTCAAGAAAAAGTAGTTCCTTTTTAAACCCACCAAACATTACAGAATAAAGCTAAGCTTCACAATTTTATTTTCATGATTAAAGCAGTAGTGTTCATAGATACACAATCAAACACAGTTTTTTTTTTTACCTAACTGAGTGAACAGTACATTGCCCTGCATTAGATCTATTCTCGATGGAAAGATTTTCAAAAAATGAAAGATCAAAACGTTGTTTTTTACATCCAATCTAGCAAAGCGTTTTGTAGCACCAGAATCGCAAATACCATAGATTTTGAGTACCATTTTCTGAGGAAACTACAGGTATATATATATATACATATATATATATATATATATATATATACATATATAATTTTACATCAAAATAAGGTATATCTAACAATCTTTCACATTTACTTCAGAGAGATCAATACAAAAATGTCTTTCAATAATAAATCTAGTCACGAAACCACTGAATGAGATTAGACATGAAGTAACGTTTGTGCACTAACCTGAATTAAACTACCTTCTTCCAGACGTGCCTCAATATTTTCACAGTTAAAAGCAACTTCTTTTTTCTGTTTACGAAAGCTCTATATATGTTTGAAGCAAGAAAACAATTATTATACCAATCATAAATTAAGAAGTTTATGGCAGTCAATGGGAAACATAACACCAAGGTGCGAAACTGACTTCTTCTAAGACTAAAGCTTTAGACTTACAGTCAAAATGAAATGTCCATTTTACGGCTTAAAGATATATCTACCGATTAAATTCGTAATTGTCAATTAAAGCCTGTGAATTAATTTTAGAGTAAAAGTTGAAAAGATATGTTTTTCAAATTATTGTCCTGTTATCATAGAATTAACGATCAATTAATGGATAGATGGTATTTGATAGTAAAAAGAAGCATGCTTTTCCACATATTTGGAACACTAAATAAATAAGGATTCTTCTAAATGTCAATAACTAGAGAAAACATAAGGTGAAAAAGCCAGTAGCAGTTTTAAGACGGAAAAGTTACGATTTAAAAGATATGAGTATTTCGGAAATTGAGACATGAAAATATAGAAGAGGAATAAATTTTTTTAAAGAAAAATAATTAATCTTGTTAAGTGAATATTCCAATATATGGCATGCGTCTTTCGTAAATTTATTTACATGATACCAATGATCATAGTCCCTTTGTAAAAAAAAATCTAATAAACATCAAGATCGCTTTAGTACTAAACTCATGAATTCTGCTAAACACGACTAAAACGGAGAGTTGATCGTCAGTATGAAGTAAACACACGATCTGCCATCTATAACGGAAAATTCTATATACAAATTTGATAATTTGTGGAAGAAAATGTTTTGATACCCATTATTAAGAAAGATGATATATTTCTGTTGATATCTACTATTAATGCAGAAACAAACAGGTTAATCAACTAGTCGTCATAAATTAAATGCGTGGTACAAATATGTATCAGTTCATTACCTTAATACATCACACCGGCAAGATATCAACAAGATGAATAACAAGATTTAAAATAAGTAGTAATAATAGCAGTCAATCAGTCAGCAGTACGACTTCACTCTCAAACCTTGAGTAGCTACTTTTAGTCGGGAATAGCAGTATCAGTGATATTTAGTAAAAGCCAAGTATTAGAGATCATAGTTTGAACAGAAGGGATCAATTCTAGGAATGAAAAGTATGAAACTATATTGAAGCTTCTAGTTAATAGGAAGTTAAGGAGAGGATACAATGATGAGAGAGTGACTGATTTTAGATCATATCACTCAATGTAGCCAACCTTCGATAGCTTTGACTCGACTTAGTAGTCTAAACATATCAAAACAGCCGCTCAGTTCAAAAAGACTGTGTGGGGTAGGCCATCTGTAGTTTAATTTAAACCTATCTCTACTCAAACCAACTTTGTTAATTGAGGTGGACAGGTGGCTGAGCATATGCAGCACATGTCCGAGACACCTCAGCTGATGGTTCACGGCCTTATCAAAAGATTTATCATACATGTCTACTACACTGAATCAAAACCTCAGTATTGCTTGTTTCGTTGGTTTCAAAATAAGCAGTGTGGAAAGCTTCGGTGACAAATATGATCGAACAAATGCAGCTAATATGTCTTCTACTTACAGAGGTTCTTACCTATTGAATAAGTAATACACATAAACTAAAAAGCCTGCTGCATTTGTACGTTATTTGGAAAACCATAGTAAAGAAAATGATAAAATAATTTAGACAAAGTATAAGGTCTAACTCAACAACAAGCGAAAACAAACCTTGCTTGCCAAATCAGTAAGAGGCACGGAGGGATTAAAGAATAAATTGGAAAATTTCCAACAACTGGAAATAGGTGAATTCCTTTTGAGTTTCCCACTGATACTATTGAATGACCGGAAAGAAAATGCCGCTGGTTTTACCCAGTGATATCGCAAAGGATTTTGTACAACCCACATCACGTTTCGAAAAACCAAATGAGGATAAAATTACCAGACCATTATACTGAAAATGTACCTAAAAATATTTATTCATTTTGTCAGTTAGATATTATGTTGCGAATAGTATAAACAAAATTTGAATAATGTATAAAAAATCCATTTAGGAAGAAATGGTTTTCAGGTAAAGAATACTACTGTAAAAAAAGCACAGATATACAATCTAATTTGAATTAACCTAGTGTTGATACTGTCTAATGTAATTTGATCAGTCTTGGTCAACATATTGGTAGCCTGCGATGATTCCCTCGATATAGCCGTTAGGACATAATTTACTATGGAAAAACTGGAATGTGGTTAGTAGCGAAATCTGGGGGGTGCGTTTCGTTCTATTTGGGAATCATAAGCAGAATGTATCTGCATGTCAGAATTGATGTTCAGTCAGTAAGTTGCAACTTAGAACTTTCTACATACATATACCAGTCCGAGTTGCCGTAACACATTAAAAGAGATGAAATTGTCAGTTCAAATCATGGAGTAATGGAAGCAGTAGCAATATTATTAGTGACCGATCGATTCTAAGATGTATGTACATCCAGCTGACAGATCTCAAAATTGAAGAAACGCGAGTCCTGAATTTCACTGCAGGCTACATTTTCTTTATTTAATATGCAAAACGCATATTTACTTTTCCTAGGTGGTCATAATAGAGAATAAATTCACATAGAATTAAGATATAAAAGTCCAGAATTGCATGTTGCAGCACGAACATGAGTATAACTAACCCTTAAGAAATTTAGAATATTTAATAGCTAAAACATATAATGAATATGAGAGATAATTGAAATATAACAGTTTCACATGATTTCAAAAGATATGAAAGTGCAACAATACATCCACTCTGGAAATTTATGAGATCATTTTGGACTTTGAATGAGTTTATACATTCTGATCATAATTGTCATTTTGGCGCCTAAAGGTGGTCTATGATTATTAATACTTTCTGCTACAAATGTCTATTTTCTTCAAAATCTGAGTTAGCGACAATCTTTGTCCGATTCCAATAAAAACCTTACTGACAATAACGTGAAAACCTTTTAAGTGGTAGTGGACAATATTGAGTACAGTCTTATCTTTGATATGCACGCATAGGCGACCAGTTGATATACCTCACCAGTACTCAAAGGTGTAGATAACGTCTGACCGAGTTATTCTATCTTATAATCTTTATTTTGGATTAATTAAATAATCTCTAGATGACTGAATATCTATAGTATCATCTCAAAGCCAATTGTAATGAAATTGTGCTACAAATAACATGAGTTCACAGCATATTATTATTATTATCTAGAAACTGCACCTCATAAATATTCTCAAGCATAAATACCATATTAGTTAATTTTATATTCAGACTCTTACGACCGCAAACTGAGTAGCTTTTCCTGACACTCTAAATATAATGTTTGGATATTTTAACTCTACGAACTTCTCTGATATGCTAACATTTTAAAAAACTTTATATACTGAGTACGTTAGTGTCTGATACACCACATCCCAACTAATTTGACAGATATGGACTAAAACCATTTGATTTTGTCGTATTGCGAATAGGAATAATTAAATAAGTGTTGTAGAGAACAACATAGTTTGTCACTTGATTTATACGTAAAACAGAACTTATTTATAAGCATACACTAAATACATAACAGACAAATCTATGAATGCTGATACAGTGCCCACATCGAAACATGAGAGGAGGTTTATCACCATTACATTTAGTGCAGTTAACAGATATAAGAGGAGTATAAACTAAAAAATTCATACCATACAGTTAAGCTAATCGAAGACATATATCAAAGCTGTCCAGAAATCATGCAGAATATCTCTAGAACATTGTCGAAAACATTGAAAAGCCTATTAATATATTCACCTTTTCAATAGGATCACTAATTAAGAAAATATATCAACATGCAAATAATATGTTACAACAGTAAGAACAATGTGAATTTTTAAATGAAATATATATTTCATGAAAAGTAAACACTGACAATTTAAAGTCATCCCATTTAATATAATATTACAGCAGAAATGAAAAGAAACAATTGGAATAAAAAGATATGATTTTATTGACAAGTCATTGGTTTCAATCAATCCAAGTGATCATTTAACTGTATGCAAGTCAAAATCAACACTGTTGAAAAAGAGCCATGTTCAATCCAAGGAGAAAAATCAAAATATTGTTATGTATTAGCCAGTATGTTTTATCAATCTGAAAATTCAGAACGTCTAAACTGAACAGGTAAACCACATGTTTGGTCAGTTGATCATGAAATCTAACGATTGGTTTAGTCACTATTGTAATTTAACAATCAGTCGAGCTACTATACGTACACTTATCTGCTTGTACTCAATGGCTGAACATTCATTGTAAAAACAAAATACATATACAGAACTAATAAATCAGAAAATGCATTTTACAATAATAAACTAATAGTGATAGAAGTAACAAATAGAAAGAAGTAGGATATCATTGTCAAATATGCATAAATGTCAACATATCATTAAATACATATATATATACAAATATATTATTATATGATGATGATGTATAACTTGTGCAATTTATCAAATGAAAGTTATTTAGTTAATTAAACAACATGACACTGTTTACATGTTGAACGTAGAAGTGTAACCTATTAATAGAGAAGGAGAATAAAAAAAATGGATTAAGAAAGTGCAAATTAAATTTTTTTTTTCTTTTTTTAATCTTCTGATATTACATCTAAACAGAAATTAAGCAATTAAATGGAAGTTTGACAACTCTCAAATGTGCATGTACAGCAAACAACTAATAAAATAACATAATAAATATGCTCATACACAAGACCAATGAATAAACGTTTTTCGTTTGTATACACATGAAAGTCCAATTTCAGTCCAGAACCCAACAGGAGTTTGGTAAACGCTTGCTTGTACATACTAACAATATGACACAACTTTATAGTTATTAAATATGCTACAGGAATAGCAACAAAGTATTTCATCTATAAGAATTGAAGTTTGGTCAACAGAAATCATTCGGCATTTGACATAGCGGACAGCCATTAAATACACTTGTACGGTCGGAGATGGAATGTTCGCTCACCCACTCAAAATCCTCTCATTTCACCATCCCTAAACTACCGCAATCACTGAAGTTCTACTCAATGCCTTCTAGTCACAACAGTTATGTTTATGAAAGTGAAACGACAAAAATCGAATTTCTGGATCTTAAACCGGGTTGGTCGGTATGCCGGATTCACCAAGAGTTGAGAGGTTCCCCTTTCAAACCAATGGAGCACATGAACTACAGGATCCTCCGGCAAAAAGTGGTCATCCATTATCATGAGACTGTATATCCTAAAATGTTCCATCGTCTTGTGGATCAAACTTGTTGGTCAACAGCTCGAAGAGTGTCCTCTAAGGAAACCACCTGCCCCTGTTTGTGAACGCTGTCAATATCACAGACCATACAAATTCATTGATTTGTGCGATGCATAAATATATAGGCGCCTTATTATGTCAATAATAATGTATCTAAATGAAATAAATAATCATATCACAAGCCATAACACAAAATGTATATCGATCTGTGGATGGTTACCGATTTATTCTAACTTTATATTGAGTATGAATAAAATCTGATATAAGTTGACACCGAAATTAGGATACACCACACATACGTAGCACCAGGAAACAGTAAACGTTTGATGACTAATGGTACAACACAGTTTCCCAAACTGAAGCAGAAGGAGTGGAATTTAAACATATGATTTAGTAGCTGAAAATCAAACGTTTTGATTAATTAACTAAGCTACAAGGCATATAAATTTATATACACGAATTTTATAGTGGTGAAATGTTACAAGTGAATTATATTTTCAAATTACTAGAACAATCACTGAACATACCAGTAATTTCGGGACTAAACTATTTTGACGACTATTCCGACTGACATCGTTTATCGAGTTGGAAGGATCCACTGAAACAGAACATCGAACAACATCAAAAAGTTTAATTTCCGTAGAATAACAACCACAACTTGGTAATGTATCCTTTGAAGCAACAGTTTCATTTTGAACACAATCTGCGGAATCTGAACAACTGGCATTTGAATTTTTTAATAAATCACTATTCCATATAAGACAAAGTTTTCCGCACTCCATGACTTTCCCATTAACAATACGAGGTGGAACAAATTTATAACTTTTCAAATTTAGATTCTAAAAATAAAAAACAAAGAAATTATGTTATGACCATCAGAAAACTGTAAGACTTATTGATTAGTGAAAAATAAAGCGGAAAATAAATATGCAGTAGACATATCATATTAAAAACTTGGATATCATGATGCTCTATTTTAGATAAAGAGAAAAAGAAATTATCAAAACAAATAAGATACTAAAATTAACTAGAATTGCACTGGCACGAATAATGCTGATCCCATAATACAAACATATTGGGGAGTTACAAATTATTCCACGGAAAAATCTCAAGAGACCCAGAAACTCGAGGAAACGTTTTATCCAATAAGTGTTGACTGGTACTTTTGCAGAAACATCTATAGAATGCAGTTTTGATTGAAGATTTAATTATACAGCTTCCATATTATTTATGGTTCCCAAAAACTTCCGGAAGCCCAAGGTCATATGAAACTATGAATTCTCACTTTTTTTCCGAAAATAAACTAATTTTTGATTACAGAATTCTTTTCGATCTTTGCGTCCTTTCCCATATGTAGGTTATGCCGCGTAAACTAAGCCTGTGTTGTCAGATGCGGCAAGGATATCACAATGGGCGTTTACTTACAATAATTCAATCAATTTAATCAATTTAATTTACGAAATGTAATAAGGGCTTCGAATCCACGAATCTCCACACCACTTGAACCAATACACCGTACGTGAGTGGTATTTGTCACGAATCGATAATAGTTTTAGTACCACTAAAAACCAAGAAACATTTGACAATCATTTCGATCTAGTAATGGGACACCTCAGTCAGTCAGTCAGTCAGTTGCAACGTAGAACTTCGTACGTATGTACATAAGTTCATGTTGCCATACCACATTATTAGCACAGAGACGCAAATGTCAAATCAAATCCCATAGTGATAAAGATGGTAGAGGTAGTACAAAATATCTCACGAGCACTCAGACGAGGTTACACCGTCTATTTGCGTATACAATAACAGATGACCTAACAAGTGAACGAATATTGACATGATAATTCATTCCAAGTGGTTTAGTATGACATGATTGGAGATATTTTACTGTCTTTCACAAAATCATCAGTGCCTATCTTAAGTGAAAGTGAGCTGCTTACAGCTTATCTCAAAAGTCCTCAATTGATCTGTTCTGATGATTATATCAGTGAATGGTTTCATAGGTTTTATCATCTTCATATGACATGTTGTCTTTTCAGAAAATGATAATAATGGAAACTCAGAAATTAAACCATCACAACCAGAGAACATAATACTACCAAAAGCATCCAGTTGAGCCCAAAACCTCTATCAAAGAAATTCATTGTACAATTTGATGTACACACAACCAAACAATGAAATATAGCAGACAAAAATAATAAGTGAACAAACTAAAAGTGAAACTTAAGCAAACTAACCTGCAAATAAACTCTTTTAGTGAGACCACAAGAAAGAATAAGAACATCAAATGAACGATCGAGTACAGATGTTACAGCACATACTTCGGTAAATGGACCTGTTTCCTAATTGTTTTTTAAAAAGAATAACAGAAATATTATACATCTTAATGTAATCCAACAAATCGTTTGCAATGGAGTAGGTGCATCCAGACAGACAGACAGACAGATACAACGCAGAACTTCGTACGTAAGTACATCAGTTCAGGTTGCCATACCACATCAGCACAGAGACGCAACTGTCAGTTCAAATCCAAGAGTGATAGTGATAGTAGAAGTATTAGCAGTAATGGAGAAGATTAGGGAGCGAAGATATGATTCGAGAAGTACGATTCAGTAAGATAAATTTAGAAGGAGAAAGGTAGGTGCATCCACTCTTTGTGTTCTCACAAATTCGTCAACACCTTTATCTTTCTCTTTCTGGATTTATCTCATAGAATTATACTTCTTGAACAACATCTTTGAATCCATTACAGCTACTATTTCTACCACTATGGGATTGGAACTGACAATTGGCACTATTTATGACGATTAATGGGATTCCTTTTGAGTAAAGATAACTATCTATGCATAAGTACTTATTAAATCTTTTAAAATATAAATAAATAATTTTGAAACATGATTACCTTAACAAACAGAACAAAGAAAAATTCTGCACTTTCTTCGCTGGCAAGTCGAGCAGACAATTTTTTGGAATTGCAAACTTCAGCTTGTTGTTGTAATTTAACTGGCGTCATTTCCTTTGAGAGGGCCGTACTTAAATACCACGCTGCTTTTTCAGCTACCATTAAACAAAGTTTAAAAAAGAAGCAAATAATCATAAATGTTACAGAACGTTCGGTCCATACACTCGTAGAAACAGAAAACTACACTTAATTGCGGATTATTTGCAATCTTAACAATTTTACAGGGGTTAAATTTAAAAATCAGTTCAGTTAAAAGGATGCAGAATGGGTATATAATTTATAAGAAGGTATAAGAAGAATAGAAATCTTTGAGGATATAAACAGTGAAGTTTATGTAGGGTTAGCTAAGACTAGTATGGTCATTCTTTGGAATTGAATTTGTCATAACGAATGACAAAAATTAACATTTTACTCACAACAGGAACTAGGGAAAATTACTATTGAAGATGAGATCAAACGTTGTGAACGAAGAATGTAACTCTTTACTGTAGATCGTCAGTGAAAAAGTGGTTTAGTTTAGGTAAAAAAAATAAACTACATGTGAGAAAAAAATATAATATTAACAACCTCCATGAATCTAAACAAATCAAAAAAAGACAAACTGACTAAGTAGTTTACAACTCTATATTTGCGAAACGTACTCTAATATTCAGCAGTTTATTGTAAACATGTAGTGATATAAGGCTTGGAATAAAGGACAAAATATTCAAGATTCTGATCACCAGCTACTATTAAACTGCAACTCCTGACGTTCACCATTGCCTTGTGTACTAGGTGTATTAGTTAAAAGTTCAGAAAGTGGACTCCTAAGAAAATAAAAGGCTTTGGATTAGGCACCCAGGTTTGCAAGGAACCCCAACTTTTAAAACATCACCAGACCCAGGTGAATTGCCCGCAACCCTTTTTAAAAATGGTGACTACCTACTGACTATGAGACTGATTGAGTTATTTACAATCATTCAGCAACTGAAGAGCAATCCAACATCGTGAAACGAGTCGATAGTTGTCCCTATTTTTAAAATGGTTCACGCTATCTATATAACTACTATCAGGGGGTAAGGCTATTTTCGATTGCGTTCAAATTATTGGCTTTCGTCATGCTTTGTAGTTTGTTCAGAACTAATGAAATACAGACTTACGACGAGCAGGTTGATTTGCGATCTGTTTCATTCAAATAAGGGGGATAGGCAGTGTTGTTCATTACCATCAATCCTTTTCAACTTTGACATCGGTCACATTATAGAAATGGCTCCGGTGAATGTAGGTAGTGGTGGTGTGGATCTGTTACCTGAATAGATACTTTTCGACCTTCATTGAGTTGAGCCAATGCCTGTACTCACTCACAGTAGCGTACAGATAGAAGTAGTCGAGAAGTTTGTGTATCTAGGGTACTGTACAAGAGCTGGTAATGACATGAGCGATAAGCTCAGTCTATGTACAATGAAAGATAGAGCCATCTTTGATGCTGTTGTAATTTTAGTCTGGCTATAAAATGTCGAGTACACGTGTCAGTAAGAGCAGTTGTGACCTGAGCTCGTGAAATCTAAGCTCTCCGAACTAAAACTGTTAGGCAAATCTCTGTTCCATTACAGTTGCCTCTGAAGAATTGCTAAAATTCGATGGAAATACAACGTTAGTAATGCAGAGATTTGGCAACGTGTGTTTGGGGACGGTGACGAAAATTTAATTGGTTCCACATTTTGAAACATCAATGTTGGAGGTTCAAACATGTACTAAGAACGCCACCACATCAAAAAGGTCAAGGGGTGGTCAGTGTATGACAGTGTCGCTGTTTGAACAAAAGTTGTACAAGACTGGCATCTGCTGGTCCTTTACAACACCTTAGTTCGCGTCCAAGTTGTGGCGTAGCTCAATGGCTTCAATTATTATCAGATATGATTCAGAATAAAGGACGGCGGCGGTCCTGCTGTAACTTTGTTTTCGTAATATAAGTAAGAGGAACTTCGTTCTGCTTGTATTTTCCATTACTGAACTGGTTCCCTCTCAATTATTTCACTCCGATACACTGACTATTCATTTTTTTGCTATACTCACTGTTCTTTCCCTATCTCTCTACAACCTCATTTTTATTGTGGTATATAATTGTATTTTGCTGTCTCTTTGTACCAGTATTCGTGTTATGAATAAATAATGAATTCAACATAGTAAAATAACTAAAGATGATACATGTTAATTCAAAATCACTAACGATCACTTTCGTCTTCGGCCAAGGTAGCTGATAATTGCCGGTGAACGATAACATCTGCGTAACGACGAATAGGAGAAGTGAAATGAGTATATGATTGCACGTTTAAACTATAATGTGCAGGCGATAATTCGGATGGTAGGAGACCTAAACAAAAGTAGACGGCCAAATTCATTGTCTTAGATAATAAAGCAACTGTAACAAGAAGTTGTGCTTCATGTTTAAGAGTTTTCGGCGGTAACTTTTTCGTTTGATCAACTGAGTTGAGATTTAGTGTTTCCATTTCGCTTATCACATTAGCTTCAAGAGTCGAAACATCGGACATATAATCACCACACAATTGGACAAGAGAATCTGGAAATTGATATCCGACTTCAATGTTACAACCTGCTTCATGGCAAATCGAACCCTAAAAAACAATGATCACGGACATTGAGTATAGATTCGAACACAATATTAATCGAATTTCTCATACGCTGAAAATCATATCTATTTACCTAGATAGGCAATCAAATCATATTAATTTTAAAATCTAAAACTGTTAGAAAGCACAAGTGGTGCGGTACTGTAGGGATGCTAAATCTCCAAATACAACTTAGTAAGAAATTAAATGAAACATTGTGCATTGTTTTCAAATGTGACTTTTATTTAGTTTTTTTTCGTATAGAATTAATTTGTATCAATAAACGCTAAGTAATATTTTGCTTACATTACTTTTATTCTATGGATGTCACAAGAGGACTTCCATCCTTTTTTATAGACTGGGACGATCAGTGATTGGGACCAGTGAGATGAGATCACTCTCAGTTTTCAAATTCTACCTGAGATCTCAGTCAATCTAAGTTCTAGAACTGGACCATTAACCTTAAAACTATCGAATTTCTTTTTCAACCTCAGGAAGAGTTAAAGGAGTTACATCCATTCGCCATTCAGGTTGACTGGAGATCTTGAGTAACCGAAGTATGGCCTGAAGGCCAATTGAACTGATCACTAAAGGGTTTAGCCCATCCATCTAGTCTCCTCGACTGAGAATGAGAAAAGTTCGACCTTTTGCCGAGATAGTCTCATTAACAGTCCGATTTCTGATACCGGTTTCCTTGATGAGGTTGAATGTTTGTCTGCTGTTATCTATCGCCGCTAACTTTTCCATCTCTCTTGATTTAGCCACTCACCACTGTTTGCGATCATTGCACAGGCATTTTGTGAGCCTGTGTTTAAGCTGTATCTGCTCCTTTTTGGATATCATTCCAAGCTGTCTCGGGGTGGGAATCACTTACATGGCTGCCTAACCGTAAAGAACGAAGAGGCAACAGCGAGTGTCCCTATCTTTCCGAATCCTTACTGTCCTGTTTAGTCAGATAGTGCATAAATGACTATCTACTGGGATCCAGTCTAAAAGAGCTAGTTCTGCCCTAGATCTCAATGCTATACTTACACCAGCGAGGCCACAGGAAGCAGCAGCAGGGCTTCCATATACACGAAGCGTAAACCAAGTTGGTTCTTTACCTGGATAAGGTGAAGTCAAATTAATGATTCTAACCGGATCCTATATGCGCATTTCTGAGACGCAGCATACGTCAATGGTGTGAGATTCTAAAGTCCGAGCTAAGGAAGTTTGTTATCCTTTATGGCACGAGATTCGAACATTGAAAGCTTCAACATGCAGCTTAGAGTGGGGTTAATTATAATAAATTTATGTACGTTAATCAGTCTCGTGTGCTGTTACGGGTATGACGGTGAATGTCACTTCGCGGCCACCCACACCATGGAACGGTGTTTCTTGAGAAACCTGAAAAGGAAAATATATTATTGTTGGTCTTAGAGATCTGGGAGCGTGGCCGCAGTGCCCAACGGACAACTGCTTGAGGCCGGTAACGCAAGACTTTTTTATTATAGGTTTTTTGAGTACTAGCTCCGCTCTTAAAAGCTCTTATTGGGCAGTCCTTACCGACGGGAACGGAAATCCGTGAGGTAAGGTGAGGTGTGACATTTTTAGGGTCGACCTTTTCAAACCCATCCTTCCTTGTAAAGAAATGAGATTCTGAAAAAATTAAAACGCATAAAATAAAGTAGTTCAGTTGTGAAATAATATAACATGCTTAATTAATATATACCTGTATTGAACCTGCAGAATCAACATTAACATTTATTCCATGAGCATTTAGAATGGATGAAACTTCAGTTAACTGCTTTATGGATGGTGGTGGATGTCGTCTCAAGAAAGCTGAGCCAGGTAAGTATTTAGCTAAACGTTCAGCAACTGATTTGTTTGCTGCTAACATCCATTCCTCAATAAGCCAATTACTCTGTATCGCTATATACGGAGCTATTCCCAACGGTAGCCCACTTTCACTATCAAGTGAAAAAGATGACTTCACTTGATCTAAGCGAAGAGCTCCAGAATGAAAACGAGTTTTACGCATTTTAGTAGCCAGCTAAAGGATAAGAAATAAATTGTGATTGTTAAAAAATGATAATCAGATCAATGAAAGTTCTTATTTAGGAAATGATAACAATCAAGTAAAAACCTGTGAAAATTTCATAAGGTGACATGTTTCCAGTAGACAACAAATGTTTGACAGACTATGATTTGCCCTGGTGGGAAAATAAATCAGTGGGCTAAATATGAAGAATGATGATGGCGTAATCAATGTTTCCAAAATATGATTAGTCTAACTAAAATCACGATGAATAAAGAATCACAATAAAGAAGAATTTTAAGACAAACACCACAACAGAAACACTTACATTGTTTAGCTGTAGGACATTTTTGCATATATCCAGTGTGGTAAATGGTTCATATACTTTGACAAAGTTATTGGACGACCAGTCCTTATCAGGGTGGTCAATAAATTCCTAAAATCATAAGGAATAGCATCAATATGAAGAGCATAAATTTTATGATATAAAACTATTGGAACACATTTAAACAGATGTCAATAAGAGAAGCAGTGTCTTTATAAGGATTTTGTCTCTTTAAAATAGCTGATTATAGTCTTATAGGTCTAGAAAACATAAAAATAAGTTAGATCAGTATGACTTTGAAAGTTCACAACATATAAAAATTTTCGAATGCAACAAACACTAAAAAAGACAATAATTTGAATTTAAAATAATTAAATGTCATCCAATAATTAAGCATATACTCATTATCTAAACTTAGAGCTACACTTTATAACATCATTATGGCTATCATTCATACTTGGTTTTTTACATAGGAATAAATAGTGGAGGCGATGCTCGAATTGAAAACGTAATGGCTAAGAAGTAAAATAGTTAAATACAATACAATCTAATCAAATATAACATTTAACAGATACCAACCTGTGCGTCTTGATAACTGAGTTTACAACAAGAACGAACAAATGTACGACCGAACCATGTTGTTAAAATCTAACATTAAAATAAAAAAAGACATTTTTAAAAAGTAAATTTTGTCTGGCTCATATAACAGAAAAACTTATAAGATCAAGAAAATAAATTAATAATAATTTACCTGACGATTTAATATGAATGACCATAACCAGATACTAAAATTAACAAGGCAAATAATGCCCTCATATACACAGAAATATCATTAGTCAAAATATAATGTAGAGGACTTATGTCGAAAGCTTACTGCATCATTATCAAGAAAAGTCTAGAACAATGACGCAGATGAATTGACCCATATCTTTAACATGACTTTTTTAACGAATCACGTTATTTTATTGGATGACTTGGTACGGATAATTTGTATATTGATGATTGCACCTCCATATTCTGTTTGATTGGTATTTTACTGTTGAAACTTTATGTAACATTAACTAGTGTCTTATCTTATTACGTCCCACTTATAATTAGTCTGCATACCCGATTAGCTTTGGTTTAAATGCTACCGAATGAGTTGCTTAAACTCTGTCCCGTATCCGTTTCTGAAAAATATAAAAGATATTAGCCCTAGTAAACACTCATAATAGTCGATATAAAAAACAGCGAAAAACCAAACATGATGGCATGTAAATCTTAGCACCAATCGAATCCTCGTTATCAAGAAAAACTGGAAACAACGTAATTTGATCAGAAAGTGATGACCGAATACTGCCATCATTAGAATTCGCTGATAATCCTTGTATTGACAAGCCAATCATGACTGCGGTTATGAATTAGCTCTGGGATTCAATTTGAGGGGAGTTCGTTCAGGAAGACTCATGCTAAAACACACACTAATTGAAATCAGTCTTGAATGTCAATAATATGGAAACAAAGACCCTTACGAATAACAACATAGTACCTGTCGAACTAATTAAAAGTTTAATGTACAAAGCGTAATAGGTTTTGCGTTCAAGTCTCACTCAATCGTAACCAACCCAGAGCTTAGTATAAATGTGCGTTAACCCATTTTCCTGTAACATTAGTATAACAAGATCAATCGCAAGAGAGACAAAATGCAGTAGTAATGATAACAAGACAAATAAGCACGGATACTACGGATCAAGAAGTAGAAATGAAAAGCTGTGTATAAAGAAATACATGGAATAAAAGTATGAAAACAAATAAGAAGTGAACAGACCTGATATGAACAACTATTATAGGATCCTGGTGCACTCAACTAATGCATTTTGAATGACAAGTAATGAGCGGTCTGGATCCCAACTACAAGGTACTATCCGAAAATATGATGAATTGCACGTAGCTCATTGTAAAAGAGTTCCGAAGTTTTTTATTACGCTCGGAGGTGGAGATTTCGCTTCCCCACTCGGAATCCTCATATTGCTACTCATAAACAACCACTATCACTCACGTTCTACTCAACGTCATCTCGTCACAGCAGTGTTGTGTATGAAAGTGAAACGACAAAAACCAAATTTCTAGATATTAAACCGGATTGGTGGGTATGCAGCAACCACCGAGGAAAGTTGAAAAGCTCTCATTTAAAACCAATGGTGTGCATGAGCTACAGGATCCACAAGGAACTAGTGGAGTACAAACCGATTCTTGATCACCCATGATCATGAGACTGTATCTCCTAACATTGCTCCATTGTCTTGTAGATTAGACTTGTTGGTCTAATTGGGAACCCAGTCGGTAGCCCAGACCACACACGAATGCAATGATTTGTGTGAGCCATATATTTTTGGAGTATTATATCCGGGTGAGGACTAAAGTAAATAATAACTTGGGAAACTAATTTATGGACTATTGATGTATACAATCTAATTGTATAATTACTAATGAACTAAACTATCCAGTAAATCAATCCCTTATCATAAGCTTTCTTTTAACTTACAAATTATTACCATACGATTTACTGTTCCTATTTTGTTGAAAGTTATTATTTACGATCTTCCCTACTTACAGTCACTTTGACTTATCCATGTATTGTTATTAATTTCTACTTACTAGTGCGATGTGACCTGTTTTTGTGTGCGTATATATGGATGCCTGAAATATAGAAACAAATCTTCGACTGGTATTTATTGGTCATTGTTCTTAATCGTTCGGTTGGGGCAAATTAGTAGTCCTTCGAGCAAAGAGTAACAAGTCTATTGTCCTTGTCGCATATTGGTTACTCAAAGGTCGTCTGCATATTGGCTAGTGTAAAAGTCACAACACGGTGCTTTATTTTTATGTTTATGTGCTTAACTAAATATGATAAATAAACATGCACATAGAGGTACACACCAAGAAGTATACATAACAACTTACTAATTAAATCCAGTTCTTAATATTAACAATAGAAATACACAAACTTGCAAATAATAGCTAAAGTTGACACGTTTTGGTAGACATTTGCAGGAATAGGTGGAAACAAAATATTTCAAAAAAGTCATGAGTGATGTAATATAAAGTATACTAGTATGGATATATTTATTACTAAGTAACGCATCAGTGATATAATATAACATGAAGTTACAGATTACAATTTCTTTGCAAGAAATAGACACGCTGTACCTACCTTAGCGTCCTTGGTTACAGTGAATACTACAGAAAATGTTAATTTGTCTTCTCCTGGATTAAGACTACACTGTTCTTCACAGAGTAGACGTGGTAGCATAGGAATGCACAGTTGCACTAAATATATAGAAGTTGCTCTAGTAGCCGCCTCCTCATCAACTGGGCTGTCTGGTTTCACAAAATATGACACATCAGCTATATGTACACCGACCTGGGGAAAAAACAAAAATATAGATGAGTGATGCCTTGAAGATTCCTTTTTACGGACATTAGTTTTCGTTATGCTTACAGTTCTACATGAAAGTTAGGCGTCGTGTTTTTGAATATTAGTGAGTCGCATATCATAGTATGAAACAATCAATAGTTTGAACTGACGGTTTCGACATCGAAAAACGAGATCTACATAACTCAGTTGCTTGTGCAGAACCTGGAAGACGCAAAACTAACACGTAACAAACGTTGTTGTAATTAATGTGTTTTATATTGCACATAACCAACTGAGCTTATAAAAATCCTTGATATTTTCCCAACAATCGGAAATTATTGTTCGGAAGATTGATCTAATACCGACTTAGTGAATGATTAAGCACCATGAAACACTCCATTACAGATCCTCATCACAAAAATTTTGGGGTTAAATCAAAATTCAGAAAGTTACTTATGTCCAAATGTCGCTCTCACTGGACAACAGACCTATAAAACAGAACTCTTATTTACCTCATAAAAAGCGTCTTGATAACCATCAGATTCTAATTTCTTTATTTCATTCGGTTCCAACTGTCTAATGTGCAAAGCATCATCAAGATCTCGAGCAGTACTGGGATCGATTGTAAAAACACAGTATTTTCGAAAATCTCTACGGAACATAGAATCCTTTTCACGAATAGCATTCACGTCATCAATAGACTTACGAACTGACTCGGTGACAATATCGGGAAACTGCAAAGCTGCATCCACACCCCAAACGAATCCTGCGCCAACTAAGATCCTATCTGTTTCATCCTGAATCAGATTAGAAGAATCACAAGACAATTCTCGTAATAACTCCCTAATAACAAAAAAGAATGACAAATCAAAGCCATAAAAATCCTAGTACGAATTAAATTTGTAAAGGTAACTAAGATATTTTTAATAAAACAATAAATGACAAACTAAACAGCACAAATAAAGTGATATTCAATTTGATGTCAGTAACCTAACGATTATCAACCACACAATAATGTAAAGATGTTAACAACTAAGTTCGCAAAAATAATAACAAGTTGCTTAATTACTTAGTCGAAGCGTATTAAACAAAGAAAAATGTCAACCATGTATGCACTACAATTCAAATATCTGCACCTTGAAATTTACTCAATATGTAAAATAAAACAAAATAACAGGTCATATTCATCTGGTGCTTCAATTTTATTAAGGCCTGACATTCGAATATCTTAACAAAACAAGTTAAATCATCATTGAACTCAGAATAATGAATCATGTCAATCGGAAGATCATTTCTAAAAGTAACATGAAGATTAAATCATAATTTTCAGTATCCAGTTAAGTAATCACTTTGGGGAACGGTATTTCTATGATAAAGGAAATGGTGACAATATCTATACCTGAAATTATGATGAAGCCCATAGATCTGAGATAATGCAGTTTATTCCGTATATAACTTTAAATAAGGCCTTATTCAGATGCGAGATTGGTTAGATATTGATACGACACCAGAAACGGCAGAATGTAATTCAAACAGCTACGATTATTGGAGAAAATGTCGTTGTTTTACAAAAAAAATCAGACGAATAACAAATTTTTAATAAGCATTCAGCATTAACGAATTGAAATTCTGTGTGTAAATACTTACCCTTTTGGGAACATATTCGAATCAAGCCATTCAGTGATACGACCAATAAAACGGACGTTTTTGTAAGTTTCTGGATTTTTCAGGAATCCTATAGCAAAACGAGTAACAATCAAAGTATAAGGAAACGATATTTTGATAAGTTATACAGAAGTAACCTTCAGACGAGGTCATTTATTTTGCTTGATACTAAGGATTTCTTAACACATCTATTTGTACTCACCTTCCGGGCAAACTTCACGGGGTATGAAGACTCGTGGTAGACGTGTATCTGTAGGTATGAGCACAGCATTCCTCCAATTAGATGAAACTGAATCTGTATTTTGGACCGTTGGTTGATTGTGACCTTCTGAGCAAACGGAATTCGTAGGGTTGCCACTTTGATCAAGTTTTAGAGATTTTTTTTTTGGAGTTTGGAAATTACTAGGACTTTGAAGATTTCCTATGAAAGCACGGGAATGTAGCGGCTGAAGGATTCCAACAACATGACCAGTCCTCTGTATAATCGACCACCAAGCTGCATAATTTTCCACACTTTTCTCAACTGACAAGGAATCAACTGGGTCTGACGGTGAGTCTAGATTTAGTGCAATCTCGTGTGCAAGATGACTTCCTATGAGCTTAAGATATCAATAAAGGTTTGAAAATAAAATAATATTTTAACGTACATTTAATAGTTTGGAATGATAAATTTTTCTAGGTTCATAAAACAAATGATACTTAACTCCCGATCCACTAATAAATTATTGATTTTGTGGAAGCGCTTATGCAGGACAGCTTTTCTATTGAATACAATAAGAGAACGATGAAGAGCAAAATATTAACAAGTAAAAGTATAAATTGGTTATCGAATAATATTCAGCTTAACTAACTCACTGCCTGTAGTTTTACTTACATAAAAATAGATCATAAAATAAAGTTACTAAAAGTGAAAATGTATAAGGGATCTCCAATAATTGAGCTATTTGGTTTAATCATTATACTTCCTTAGCTGGACAACTAACCTTTAGATGGAACATTAGTCACTATAATCAATACACAAACTCTCACCAACTTTATGATTTGGAAATACAACCGACCAAAGTAATTTAATGTGAGCTTATGGGTTAATAAAATTAGCATTTACTGATATTAAAACATCTCCATTGAACAAATGGCGTCTTCAGCTAAGCGTACCATTTCGGTGAATAATTACTAACGAATAGTAGAAATCCACTGTATTCAACAAATAGTAAAACGCACAAAAAGAATATGAAATTTTCAGTCTTACTGACTTCATTTTAATAACATCATTTTATCATAATTCAATAAGTACTAGCAGGAAAATCGATAGATTCTGATTTTTTGAAGACGTAAAATAGGGTACTATATTTTAATTTACATCAATTTGATGGTAGATGGATTATTTAACCGACAGTTATATGCAAAAAGGGACAGAACGGGGTATACATGGAAGATGATAATGCACGTACTTGCTCTAGCCCCGTAGGTTGAATCTTAAGAAACTGTTCCAACGTGACATATGCAGGTTTTTTCTGATTTGAATCCCCGATTTTTTTCATGGCTGCTTCGTCGATAAAAGAATCAAACACCTAGAAAAGCACATGTAGCAATATCCAACCATTAAACTCTGGAAAATATGTAGAATAGATAAAGTAATAAGAGTTGATATGTTTTTAGACTTATTCAAAAACCACTCTTTCTGTTTATGACAAACATTTATTCACTGGGAAATGACTTTGATAAATTAACCAAGTTACAAAAACTACAAGTTGATGAGTGATATGGGACCCAGAAAGTTGAAATGCTAGTCGGACATGACTGAGCCATAAATAATTAATCATTTTGAACAAGCGCGTATTTTACAGGTTTTAATGGAAAAATTAATACGTATTTTATTTAAAACTTGAAGTGAAAAAGTCAGTGACCCTTTAGAAGCAAAGAATTCAAAGTCTATAAAATTGAAATCATCTACAGATATCAAATATGCAAACGCGCGAAACGTTGTATCAAACATATATAGATATAAATTCATTGGATGAATAAAACAGATCCAAGTCCTATTAGTTCATAGTTGAGTTAGAAGGACGGAGATAATATGTAGACTTTAATGAAACGGTGATTTAGATATAATATTACCCATAACTTTGCACTACAAATGACAACCAAAGTGACCAACACACTAGCCGATTATATTTTTGGTCCTATACAGATACCTTATATGATAAAAATAAAATTATGGATTGTTTTCTATTGTATTTACTCATTACATATAATGATGGACACAAAATACGTACAGCTTGTAAATCCAGGATAAAAAAGAACATGAAAAATGTCCTATTACGAACTCTAAGGAGCCATAAAACTAGTAGTTTCAATCTCAACAATACATCTAATACAAAAATTTAATTTGATCACACACATAATTCCTACAACCGTTGACGCGATCACTTATTTAACTGGTTAGCGTTTCTAGTCAAATATACTATTATGTGTTAAATAAGTGATCGCGTCAACGTTTGTAGGAACTACCTGTGTATGATCAGATTAAATTTTTGCATTGGATATATTACTGAAATTCAAACTACTAGTTTGCTCTTTAGAGTTCGTAATAAGACATTTTCCGTGTTTGTTTCTTTTAACTTTCGGCAAGATTTGGAATGAATAAAAAGTACCAACAGACTGGAAAGGAGGACACCTAATCAAGGTACCAAAAAAAGTCGATCTAGGCAGGTGAGAAGAATTACAGAGGCATCACTCTTCTCTCAATATCAGGCAAAGTCTTCAACAGGGTTTTGTTAAGCAAAATGAAGAACTACGCAGACACTCAACATTGAGATCAACAGACTGAATCCTGTAAGGATTGATAATGCATCGACTAAATTGCGACATTACGGATCATTGTGGAACAATCAATTGAATGGAATTCACCAATCTTCATCAACTTCATTGATTCAGTCAATCACAACGTAGAACTTCGTATATAAGTACATCAGTTCATGTTGCTATGCCACATTAACACAAAGACACAATTGTCAGTTAAAAACGAATAGTGGTAGCGATAGTAGAAGTATTAGCAGTAATCGAGAATATTAGGGAGTGAAGATATGATTCGAGAAGTAGAATTCAGTAAGATAAATTTAGAACGAGAAAGATAGAGACTATGAGGAATTCAGAAGGTTAGAATTAGAGAGAACACAAAGAGTGGATGCACCTGTGCCGTTGAAAACGATTCCCAGCCATGTCGTTCAAAGTCTCTAATCATCGGTGACTTTTGTCCCACGGACCCCAACCAGGTAGTCTGCATCTACCAACATGACTCAGTTCACTTGTTAGTGATTTCATGGATTTCTGCCATGTTTTGGTTTGGCCGCACCTAGCTTCCTTCCAACCTATTCCTACACCACAAAACATCGCTTATCGAGGCAGTTGGTGGTTGGGCACATATCCCAACCACGAAGTTTCACCACTTCATCAACTGTCTGCCATCCCTACCTAGTACTCGTTTCCTAACTAAGTTCTTTGATTACGAGAATGCATTTGATAGTGTAAACACGACAATGCTATGGAGACCTTTTCGACCCTATGGCGTGCCTGAGAAGATGATGATGGATGAAATTGAAAAATCGTGCATATAGGACAGCTAACAGACTTATTTGAGGTGCAGACCGGAGATAGACAAGGTCGCTTACTCCCACTCTTTCTCTTTCTCTCGTTTATCGACTGGATATTGAGGACGTCAATATCTGGGGGGAAGTACGGGATACAATGGAGAGCTAAGATGCAGCTGGACGATATGGACTTCGCAGATGATCTAGCTTTTCTATCCCAATCGCAACAACAAATGCAAAAGAAGACGACCAGTGTAGCAGCAGCCTCAGAAGCAGGAGGTATCAACATACATAAAGGGAAAAGCAAGATTCTCCGATACAACGCAACATGCACCAACAAGATCACTCTTGATGGAGATGCCTTGGAGGAGGTGAAAACCTTTACATGTCTAGGCAGCATAATTGATGAACAAGGTGGAGCTGAGTGTGTATCAGCAAAGCAAGGGCAGCATCTCTACAAATAAACATCTGGTACTCAAACAACTATCAACCAACATCACGGTCAGAATTTTCAATACAAATGTCAAAACTGTTATACTGTATGGGGCGGAAACATGGAGAACTACCAAAGCCATTAACAGTTTTCTACGCAAAATACTTTAGATCCGTTGGCCAGAGACTACCAGCAACAACCTGCTGTGGGAGAGAACAAACCAGATTCCAGCTGAGGAGGAAATCAGGAAGAAGCGCTGGAAGTGGATAGGACAAACATTACGGAAATCACTCAACTGCGTCAAAAGACAACCCCTCAGTTGGAATCCTCAAGGTCAAAGGAGGAGAGAAAAACTAAAGGATACATTTCACCGAGAAATGGGGGCAGACATCAGAAGAATGAACAAAGACAAGACAGAACGAGAAAGAAAGGATCAGGACAGAGTAGGTTGGAGAATGCTGGTCGGCGGCCTACACTCCTTTGGGAGTGACAGGCGAGAGTATGTTTGACATTTTTAGTAAAACAGTTATTACAAAATTTCAAACCGATGATTATAAGACCATTTATCAGAAGACTTAGTTGGGAATATGAAGATAAAACAAATTGAAGTCAAATTAATTTACAACTCCAGTTTTCAACCGCAAATGGTAAAGCATTAAGGTGGTCCTGAAGGATGCTCTTCTGAATTCGAAAGCATTGCAGAGTTTTTACATACTCATTCATTGAAGTAGAAAAATTGAAATATTGTTATTACTGAAACATACCCTCCACTGACGTTTTGGTTCCAACATGACAGCAACAATATCATTAGGTAGTGCTCGGTTTCTGGATGCTAAAGTTGAGATGTATACATCAGTATCACCAGCCTTTATAATTTATTAAGCTCAATTATAATCACATTTACCGGGTGTTTTATGTATCCATCTTCGAAGCTTTTTGGATTAATACGAAGGTTACCCTGTACAATAAATGATAAGAACATTGAAAATTACTAAAACAACTATAATAATGTCGAAATTAAAAAACGATTGAAAATAATAATACTGTATCCTTCAAATTAAAGAAGTTTTTACTGCTCACAAAAGAAGTACTAAGGAAAGTTATTCAAAATCAACCAAGATTTATAGTCACGTAAGAACTTGCTGCTAAATTAATTGTCCTCCAGAATTTCCAAATCAAACACAATCAAAAACCATGTAACGAGGTGACTACTAATGTTGCTAATATTACCATAAAAATATTATTCGTATTACTAACATATGTATTTTTTAGTTGATAAAACTGAGGCTAAGTGCTGATAAGGTCGGATCGCAAGTTTACAGATACTTGACATTTAATAATTCAAGTGAATATACACTGATCGATACTAAGTACCCACGTACAGTCGGAGGTGGGGAGAGCTCGCTCCCCAACTAGAAATTCTCATATTGCCACTCATAAACAACCACTATCACTCACGTTCTACTCAACGTCATCTCGTCACAGCAGTGTTGTGTATGAAAGTGAAACGACAAAAACCAAATTTCTAGATATTAAACCGGATTGGTGGGTATGCAGCAACTACCGAGGAGAGTTGAAAAGCTCTCATTTAAAACCAAATGGTGCGCATGAGCTACAGGATCCACAGGGAACTAGTGGAGTACAAACCGATTCTTGATCACCCATGATCATGAGACTGTATCTCCTAACATTGCTCCATCGCATTGTAGTAACCCGGACCACACACTAATGCAATGATTTGTGTGGGCCATATATTCTTGGTGCCTTTTTGTACCAATGCTTGTATCCAAATAAAAAAAACTGTACCAAGCCCAAGAGCAAGAATCCAAGCTGTAATAGTTCAATCGGTTTTGAAGGTAAAATATGGTGTATGACTTTATGTAAAAGAGTTAAAATGATGTTAAGCACAAATTATGTGCGTAAACAAGAAAAGGTAAGAATGGAAGTGAGAGAAAATTGACATCTTGATGCGCCTTAAGTATCAAGTTCCAAACCCGTGATTCAAAATATAAATAACATAAAAAAACAGATGTTAACACCTACAGAGAGAAGTGTCCCATTGCTGACACCTGAAATTAGGTCTTCATGAGACCAGTGAGGGTAGTACGCACGGTTTGCACATGGGACAGCACTGACTAGCAATTCAGGTTCAATAGCTTGCCCAACAGATTTCAACTTCTGGACAACTGCGCGTGGATATCGACTTCTTTTTCTTTTTGAATTCTTGACCTAAAATCATAGTGCAATTAATGTCTGATTATTCTATTCATAAAACATACTCATTAACAAATATGCAGAATAAGATCGGTAACGAAACTTCAATTCTCTAGCAATAAATATGTTGGTAGAATTAGGAGAATATAATTTGATGCTGACATACTGGTAACTAAAAGTAGCGGGTGATTACACTACAAAATGTTGAGCTGATTACCCGTAAAACGATTAATTTGATGTACTGTGACAAGAAATATGCGAACGAAGTGAAAAATTTGACTTACAAATTCAGAAAATTCCATCACTCCGAAATTTTTAGAGCCATATGGTACGGTATGATTTGCAAATGCATAAGAATAATATCAAACTAAGTAACCTTTGGAGATGAACAAATTAGTAGGTAAAGATTGATCCTTGTTGTTTTCGACACAATGTTAGGCGTTTTGGTGGCGCATGGACCAGTAGCTTCGTGTTTAAGGCTTCAACTAAGTTCAAATCCATCAATGCTTTAATCTGGAGGGCCAGGTAGTGCTACTTAACTTTACCAGTGATTAAGTATTGGAATCCGTACTAGCTGAGCTAAATTCGCGTCGACAAAGCTTGTTCCTGAATCAGTTACAACTTAGAACTTCGTATATAAGTACATCAGTTCATGTTGCTATGCCACATTAACACAAAGACACAATTGTCAGTTAAAAACGAATAGTGGTAGCGATAGTAGAAGTATTAGCAGTAATCGAGAATATTAGGGAGTGAAGATATGATTCGAGAAGTAGAATTCAGTAAGATAAATTTAGAACGAGAAAGATAGAGACTATGAGGAATTCAGAAGGTTAGAATTAGAGAGAACACAGAGAGTGGATGCACCTGTGCCGTTGAAAACGATTCCCAGCCATGTCGTTCAAAGTCTCTAACCATCGTTGACATTCGTCTCGCGCACCCCAACCAGGTAGTCTGCATCTACCAACATGACTCAGTTCACTTGTTAGTGATTTCATGGATTTCTGCCATGTTTTGGTTTGGCCGCACCTAGCTTCCTTCCAACCTATTCCTACACCACAAAACATCGCTTATCGAGGCAGTTGGTGGTTGGGCATTCGTAACACATGTCCCAACCACCTCAACTGATGAAGTTTCAATGCTTCATCAACTGATCTGCCGTCCATACCTAGTACTTACTTCCTAATGGTAGCATTGCTTAGTCAGGTGCCCCAGAATACACGAGCAATGCTTTTAAGTCATCTGTGATTGAATACTAGTAACCTACGAATATCTTTCAAAAGGCTGTGGAAACAGCAGTGATATCTGCTAGTAAGGTTAACCATAAGGCTAGAATGAGGCCGTGGATCTCTGTAGCATCCACCGAACTGATAGAAGCTCGAAAACGCATTACACCTGACTCTGAACATGATGAAGAACGAACGCTGCGACCGCTAATAGTGGTGGTTGGCGAAAGCAAAAGAGATGGAAAATGAATGCCCATGTTCAAGAAATCTTAGTCTGTTTTACTTTATCACAGGTCCATGCCCAATAAATCCGAGGTCAGGTGAATAGTTAGTTTTCTTCACAAGACAAGAATTATAAGAAAAATTGGCAAGAAATATGGTTTGTCAGAGACTAATGGATGAATAAAGAAATAGCTGTTATCCTAGCAGACATCTTAAACTCAACTACGCTTCGCTACCTAACACCAACAAATTAAGCCTACTCAAAACCATAAGAAAACCGAACACAAAGCGACTCGAAACTTATCGATAACATGAAAGATGAGACGGAGAAGTACGCAAGATAATGAACGCAACTATCCAGATTTATAAGTTGCTACGGGTTTTCTAACTGTAGGAGCCGATTCCTACCAAAAGCACGTTCCTAAGCTCCTTTTTCTACACTAACTGACGGTGCATTCACCAATTTGGAAGGTGATCTACGATAATTATCATTCCTAGTGACAACGAAGATAAGTAATTAAACGCTAGTTTTAATGAGATTACAAGCCATTAAAAATTTATTTATAAACAAGTTTAATTGACTACAGTCGATGGATTCGACAGTAACAACTGATTTTAAAATCACAAATAGTCCACTTAAGAGAAATTATCACTTTCCCACAGGTACTAGATGAGCATATTAGCATGACTAAACATACACTGTCACTACCGATTTAAAACTTTAAATAACTCACTTCTTTACTAGGCATTTAGCCGTCACTTGAGTCTTTTGTAAGTATGAGTATGAGATTAAGGATAACCGAGAGACTGTTGGTAGCGCGAAGTTTTGAACTTGTTACCTGACAACTCCAGATATCAAGCGCTTGAAGCATGTTTTCCATATCAAATATATCAAATATAAACCAATGTATTTCTTCGCACTTGTAAGGAGCCCATATTCGGGACGGTTGGCTTGCTTAATAGATTGTACGCCATAATCGGATCACCTTTGATTCTCCTGTAACTCAGGAAGGATAATCCAAAGTACTGGAGGCTATCTTCATAAGCTTTATTCTTTAACCCTATCACTAATTTCGTCACTCGTCTCTGCACTCGATCCGTGAGATTTTAAAGTTTTAAACAACGTTAAGGATAATTCATGGGTGATAGCACCAAGTTGTCCTCTTATGAAGCGAAGAGTTGCATTAGTCTTGGCTGCGACCCCAGTACAGTTCCAATGGGTATGGAGACTTTCAGCGGTTAATAACCCAAGATCATGCTCTCAGGGGACACTAGGGAGCGGACTTCTATTGTGGGTGTAAGTTCTTTGCGCCACATGGGGCAGAATGTTCATAAAGTGACATTTCGATTGGTTTAGTTTTCGACCGATTTTTACTTCCTATTCCTCAATAGATGTAAGGTCTCTTTGAAGGTCACCTGGACCCTCTTCTTTTTTTAGTGGACCTCCAGGTCTTTGTATCTTCTGCTTAGGTGAATGCCAGCAAGCTAACATTGTCCAACAGATCTTTAATAAATATATGGGAGTCAAGTGTACCTAAGATGGCCCTTTGTGAAACTCCCGATGTTGATACTCGCCAACTCGAGTGCATTCTGTTTACCTTGGTGCGAAATTTTCTATTCTGAAGGTTTTTTCTGAACCAAGATACGAGTGGGTCAGTGAAGCCCATTTCCGCAATCTTCGTAATTAGGAATCAGTGGGGTAGTGTGTTGAGGGCTTTTGCAAAGTCAAGAAATATCATGTGCACTAGTGTCTTTCGGTCCAAACAGTTGTTCAAGATGTTCCAAGCTATGAGGACATTTTATGCACATGACCTACCTTTCGGAAACCCTTGTTGAGTTTCATGGAATATTTTTTCTTATACATGTACCCCCTCATTTGTTTGTTCACTAGCCCTTCCATAACCTTCGATAGTACTGGTAGTAATGCGACTGGTCTCTAACAGGCTGAGTCCTTCTATGAGAGAGAGGCTTAGTTCTATTCATCTTGGAATTAGTGTGACTGCAGTGAATGCCTAAACAGCCATTTGTAGGTTGGTGAGATCTTCACTGTTTTAACCTTTTGGCGAATACACACCCTAGTTTGTAGGTATTCTTTTGGTCAAGAACGTAAACAGATGCTTAGGGTCTACTTGTATGCCTGATTTCTAATAGTTTACCCCTCAGACGTCTTACTCAGCTATAGAGGCACTTAATTGTTTGTCTCATCACCTGGTAAACCTTCACAGCAATAACCATTGTCGGATTTTCAGACAAGTTGTTCAAACAAAGTTGACCAGCTCTGTGCGGACTAGCATATACAGGTTTTTTTTTTACCTGACCAGAGAATTCAATCGGCAATGCCATTATATTCGTGTATTTGTCTTTAAAATCAACCGTCATTTGTGTAAGCCACCCTTTGGTTGTTTTAAAGACCCAGGTTTGAGTTCGCAACACTTTAAGTGGTTAGAGAGATCGTTCATCGAGCTGAAACAAACCTGAAGCGCCTCAATAAGGTTTTCTAGATTTTTGAAGTTCACAGCCATCAGACGTGATGGCTTAATGGTTGTGAGATGCGAGGGATGGGGCAGCCGGTAAATACTTGTCGCGGTAGTGGTGTGGAGACCCATGCTACTTAATAGCCATCGCCACAGTTGCACGTTGTGCGCATCAGCTTCGTCCAACCTATCAACAACCATATTCGTTCTCTCTTGGGTGCCCTATGATTTCCTGGCTGCCGCACGGTTTGTCGTAACAGATCAAGATCGGGTTTGCGAGTGAATGAGTAGTGTGTATGCTGCCGAAGCGACTGAGAAGAGAGTAGGTGACCGAGACAGCTAAAAGTACCTCATAATGATTCTGACTTGGAATGATTTCGTCTGTCAGAATCTGTACTCAGATTGCCTACCAATGAATGAACACAATTTATGTATTCCATGAGGATTAAATATCACATTCTAGTGTCGGAAACTGGATTATTTCCTACAAATGAAAGGAGGTCAGCGAAGACACATCTATTTCCAAGCCCGAATTCATAAGTACTGTGGTAATCTTAGTGTATCTATGTAGACAACGAAAGACTATGAACTTATAACAACTGATAGCAAGATCTGATTATTTCCAGAAAACACAGAGTGAATGGATGGACCACAATTATCCAATATTTTTTCCACGAGCTAGTCCGAATCGATTGATTCCTTTGAACGCCACTTTTGTTCTTTAGGTACTACTTCAAGTATTTGGTGATACTGTAACTGTTAACTCCAGAGATCAAAGTCTAGTAACTTTGTAGTGATAATTAAATCCCAACAACAATCATCCCGAAAGTCTTCGAAATTATTTCTGGCTTCATCAGTTTTAGCGGACACACTGAGCTGAAGCACCCCATCGAATTACCACAGTACAGAATACTATGTATCCCTCGTTACAGCTGACAGAATTAGATTACATATAGTATTTCAACTCGTTTTTAAGATTTTTAACAGGGTTTTTTAAAATAACCAAAAATTGTTTTAAAATATTTTTAACCCTTAAAATACCTGGTAATTCACGTCCAAAAGAAATGCCGCATATTCAACACTCTATCCATCTTGAATAACCTTTTTTTTATGAGGTTTTTTCTTTCTTTATCTGGAATCATATTGGTTTTCCTATTCATGTCTGACATTTTGAGAATTAGAGAAAATTTTAAAAAATTTTCGGTCATTTCAAAAACCCTTTTAAAAATTTAAAAATCGAGTTGAAATACTATACTTTTTTACGAATCGATCCTCTTCCAAATATGTCTTGTATCTTCATTCCTGACTTATGGTTTGACACGATTTAAAGAATTCCTTGAGAAAGTCGTCACTGACAGAGTCGCTATCAAGCATTTTATATCTGCGACATCTTTAAGGTCTTAAAATTGAAGACAGCAGTAGTGACACTTTTGTTAATACAGGCATTCGTGAAAGTTGAATTAAGGTGAATTTAAACTTAATTTTTAACACCTGATGACCTAGGAAATATTTAACGGTTAGCCTTACTAAATGTATATATCTCGTTGCAATAAATTAATCCCTAACATAAATAGTTCTGCTGGTCTAAGACATCGTTTTACTTTCTGGAAGAAGGTGCTCAGTTACGCACCTGCACCAGATCACTGTGAGGTATTTTTTGCCCCTATCTCTTCGTAAAAACCAGCAGGCTTAGTTCATTTACTTCTCGAAATCCCGGTCTTAGTTTAAAATTACCTTTGATCCTTTTCATTCCTGCTTCTGATTTTACTTGACTTCGGGTGCATCAACTGTGAAAGGTGCCACGGAAAAACACCTTGAACGTTTTCAGTTTGATCTCCGATATATATATTTAATGGCTTACCCATTTTTGAACGATAAAACAGTAAATAAAGAGGAAAAACTTTGACATTCTTCTATTCTTAAAATGAACGTAGATGATTTTATTAAGGAATTCACTCAAGCTTTTATTTCCTTGATCAATGAGTTTCTATTAGGCTATATGTTCAAACGTAGACTGTCTGGAAACTACTCGAATGTGAATCATCACAACTATACAGAATAAATGGATATATGTTTGGAAAATACCAACGATTTTGTCCCTCAGTATAACTAATGGCTGAATATAAACAACGGATTGCTCCCTTATATTAATTTCTCAGTCTCTAAAGTCGATATAGAGTTTTACTCGTAAGGTGATTTACTCATTTAGCAACGATACAGAACTCTGGCTATACAGACAACATCAATATCATCCGTTATTCAAACTTGACCAAAATATCATAATAAACATTATGTAACACTTGTCATTACGCGAATCGCAGTTCCCACATATTCTAGTTCAATAGAGTTTCGTTTTCTGAAGATCATTTATGTGAAATTAATGTACTGACCACTCGGTAGTAGGGTTCAAGTAGTTTATCTAGTGTAGAAAGCTAGCTTTTCACCGATTAGTACCAATAAACAACTTGTTAATAATCAGTATTTTAACTATCCATTATCGAAGTTAACATGGAATAGGATTTCCAAATAAATCGCGGTTGGAAGTATCCTAATGAGTTTATGTTCAATGACAAATGTTAACACTCATCAAAGAAAACATGCCATAACCCCAAGATTAGTCAAAAATGTGCTGATTGCCCATTGCTAGGCTGCGAGCAGCAGCAACGGATGACAACAAAGGAAATAACTAACCGAAATCGAACGCTAATGACTGAGAAACATGAAACATGTTTACAAGTACCCTGAATAGAAGTTTGGTAGAAAACATGGTCGACAAGCAAAAAAACAAAAATTTTACTTACTTACTTACGCCTGTTACCCCCAATGGAGCATAGGCTATAAATGAATTTCTACAGTGGCCGTTCCAATGGGTTCCAATAGGGGCACTCCTGTACGATTTTCCCAGTTCCGGGTCCCAACCAATTCAAAAACGACAAAAATTCTAGGAGAAAGCGTCTGGAAATAGTGCCTCTTCCAGGTACAATTACTCCGAAGAGTATCAGACACAGTGACAGATAAGTGACGCTAAGTCCAGCGGCCACTGCATCAATCCAAATATGGCAGTAGCCATATTAAAGATCAAATTTAAACAACATATGTACAGTTCAGAAGCAAACACAAAAACTTCAATATAAATACAAAATATAGAAGGAATAACAATATACAATGATAAAATCTCAAATTGGAATCAAATAAAATACCAAAAATGTCAACAGAAAAAGTCCGTCATGTCATAGCAAAAATATGTAAACATGGAGGGATTTTCCAAAAAACAAAACATTCAAAAAGGATTCTACACCGGCCCGCAA